AAGACATGAGCAAAACTAGGGCCTAGGACCCATGTCTAACTAGGCCACTACCAACAGCTGGACCGACAGGCGAACTGCAACAATGCCTATCCTTTTTGCAACAATAGCTGCATTCAGTTAGATCTCTGTGAGTCTGTGACATTTGATTTGCTCTGTTTTGCCCAATATGCTTTCGTATGTGCAGGCACAAGTGTTTTTAGAGAACCTTGAAGAACCTCTTAGGGAGTATGTCCGATTCGTTACTTCGCTTAAGGTCAGTGCTGTTTATTTTCGCTTAAGGTCAGTGCTGTTTATTTTCACTTAAGGTCAGTGCTGTTTATTTTCGCTTAAGGTCAGTGCTGTTTATTTTCGCTTAAGGTCAGTGCTGTTTATTTTCACTTAAGGTCAGTGCTGTTTATTTTCACTTAAGGTCAGTGCTGTTTTTTTTCACCTGGAATGAAATCTCTGCTTTGTGTTCCTTCTAATTCGCTTCCAACTCTTTATTTCCTTACCGATTGCTGTTTCTCTACATGCGTTTGTTTAAGACTCTGCTCCACCTTTTTCTAAAAAAACATGTGTTTTTATTAACGCATGAATGATGAGACCTTGGAGGCGGACGGACTCTCTGCACTCTTAACATCCCTCCCTCTGCACCTCTCCCTGTGCAGAAAGCCATCTCAGACCGCTCCCTGGCATGGCGCAATCTGAACCAACTCGAGGCAGACCTCAAAGCCAAGAAGGGCAAGCTGTGAGTGCGAGAGGGCAAGCTGTGAGTGCGAGAGGGGGAGCTGTGAGTGCGAGAGGGCAAGCTGTGAGTGCGAGAGGGCAAGCTGTGAGTGCGAGAGGGGGAGTTGTGAGTGCGAGAGGGGGAGCTGTGAGTGCGAGAGGGCAAGCTGTGAGTGCGAGAGGGGAAGCTGTGAGTGCGAGAGGGGAAGCTGTGAGTGTGAATGGGTTGATAGGTGCGAGTGAGAGAGGGGTAGTTGAGAGTGTGAGAGGACAAGTTAAGTGTATGAGGAAAAGTTAGGATTCTGGGAGCTCTTTTGAGGTTTCTAAACAATGAAAAAGAGTTTGGATGTTTTTCATTGTTATCCCTTCCCTGCGAGGATCTACTGATTAAAGCACCCTCGAGCTCTGGGGCAAAGAACAAGGTTTCTGGACGCTGCAGATTATGACTGCGTTGCGTGCAAGCACCGTGTATGAAGCTTGGTCTCAAAACCGTGTATGAGACGTCTCAAACCCGTGTATGAGTCGTCTCAAAACCAATCTTCATACACATGACTGCGTTGCGTGCAAGCACCGTGTATGAAGCTTGGTCTCAAACCCGTGTATGAGACGTCTCAAAACCAATCTTCATACACATGACTGCGTTGCGTGCAAGCACCGCGCCCATGCGTCAATGAAACAGGAGGAGATTTGAGCCCTGATGTGAGTTCCGTCTTGAGTTAAAAGCTGTGTGTTCTCTCCCTGCGTGCGCAGGCATAGAGCGCAAGCAACGTCAATGAAGCAGGAGAAGATCGAGGAGATCGAGAAGGAGATTGCAGATGTGAGTGCAGTTGGGGCTTGTGAGTGCTCGGATGTGAGTGCAGTTGGGGCTTGTGAGTGATCGGATGTGAGTGCAGTTGGGGCTTGTGAGTGATCGGATGTGAGTGCAGTTGGGGCTTGTGAGTGATCGGATGTGAGTGCAGACCATGTGTGCATGTGTCTGTGCTCATGCATGCACATGTGTGCATAACGGACGGGTGCATGCATTCATGTGTGAATTTGTCAAATGCTCACATCAATCCCCCACCTCTCCTTTTATATGCAGGTGAGTCGCAAGCTGGAAGATTCCAAGAAGGAGCACGCTGACGTGGCGCAGCGTCTAGCTGGCGAGCTGCAGCGCTGCCACGTGGAGATGGCAGCGGATTTCGACCGCATGTTCCGGGACTTCCGGGCCGTCCAGGTTCGCATAATGCGGCAGTCAGCACACTCATGGGAATCCCTGCAACCTGCTATCAGGGCTGCTGGTGCTGCTCTGCAGCAGGCACAGCCACAGCCACTAGCAGCAGCACAACAAGCAGCCTAAATTTGATTGGATGCCTCAAGACTTAATGGCCGTCCAGGTTCGCATCATGCAGCAGTCAGCACACTCGTGGGAGTCGCTGCAACCTGCTATTAGGGCTGCTGGTGCTGTGCTGCAGCAGTCACAGCCACAGCCACAAGCAGCAGCACAGGTAGCACAATAATAAGTTCGAGTGTCAGATAGACATTACGACTTTCGGGGAAATTAGGTCCTCTTCGGAACGGATTAAACCGGACTGGAGAAGACCGGAGCAGACCGGACAGTGTGGCAAGAGGCTTCTCACCGCAAGAGTGGTGTCAGGAGTGGTGTGTTGCTGTGTTGCTGGCAGGCACAGTGCAGCGGCGACTTTTGAGACGTCTCAAAAGGAGTCAGGAGTGGTGTGTCGCTGTGTTGCTGGCAGGCACAGTGCAGCAGCGCAGCAGCATGTGCAATGCTGCAAAGCCATATGAAGCAGTGGAAGTGTGATTGCAATTTCAACCACAACTTTATGTGCAAACTTACCGTAGCATCTGCTATAAGGGGGAAAAAAATACTGTATATGACTGGAACACTTCTGAGTACTGACTCGTGCATCCATTTGCCTATACCTAGTGTGTGGATCACATATTGTACGATGCTATTGCAGAAGTTCCATTGCAACTGTACAATCCGCATGTACCGGTAATAGTTGGTGCTTCATACGGTAACACTGTAAACTCGCATTCACCAGCAGCTACACAAGACACATACCGTACCAGTACATGATCATAACGGAGGTCCTGCCAAGCACTGGCCCAAGACCGCCCACAAGCTGTTTCGTATGTAACAACAACCCTGCTCTTCAGTATTGATCATATGTACAATAGATTTGGGAGGGCTTGATGTGTTGAGCTGTGTGACTTGAGCTGTGCTGTGACATTCCAACAATAGGGAAGGCATTGCATGAGGGGATCGGAAGAAGACGGGGGAGAGGAACAGGAGGGGGATGGGGAGGGGGTTGGGGAGGGGGTTGAGGAGAGGAACAGGAGGGGGATGGGGAGGGGGTTGGGGAGGGGGATGAGGAAGAGTAATAGTGCCTTTGGTAGTGCCTGAATTAGCTAGTAGCGCCTTTGGGGTACAAACAGCCTGCAGTTGCCAACAAGACGACTTTTCGAGTCGACTCAATAGTGCCTGTATTAGCTTCTAGCGCCTTTGGGTTTGGGGTACTACAAACAGCCTGCAGTTGCCAACATGAAGGCGAGAGGCAGGCAGGAGAGAGGTGATGAATTGGCAGAAGGTGGGAGAGCAAGGGAGGGGGCAAGGGACGGAGGGAGAGGAAGGGAGAGGAAGGGAGAGGAAGGGAAGGAGGGAGAGGAAGAGAGAGGGCAAACTGGAAGTTGCTGCCTAACAGACTCACCACGTGTGTGAGAGAACACATGTTGATGCATGCCGCACGCATGCTGAGACAGCACATGCTGAGCACATGCTGATGCATGCGGCGCGCATGCCGACACATGCTGACGCTTGCCGAGCCACACGCCGAGCCACACGCCGAGCTACACACCGAGCCACACGCCGAGCCACATGCTCATCTTGAACCAGAAGCTGATGCAAGCCGTCCCTACGAATCTCCTGCTCCTGCTATTGCTGCAGACAGCAACCTCTGCAAACAGAGTTCTCGTCAGTCTGCCATTGCTGCAGACAGCAACCTCTGCAAACAGAGTTCTCGTCAGTCTGCCATTGCTGCAGACCAGCAATAGAATCCAGATCTGGAGTCTACCACCACCGACTCATCACTTCAGTATCAGCTGCCAATCTCAGAGGCCCCCTGAGGGATGAGTAGGGCCTTAGTACAGAGGCCCCTTACAGGTTCTGAGCGAGGCCACCACTAACACCTACAGGCTACAGATGCCACATCCACCATCGCACCTCAATCCAGGTTCGAGCGAGCTCATACCATTCCACATCAGCCTAAAGCTCATAACATCCCAGGCTTACAGGCTAGCGCTACCAGCAACCCCACCCAGCCCACCAGCTACAATCAGCCACTCCTGGCATTACAGCTATCCTTCACCCAGCAACTCCTCTTTCGCTGGTGAATCTGCGAGAGTGGTTTGACCCGCCGCCCCTCTTCCGACCCATCGCCTAGCTCACTCCTGCTCCCCTCCTCCTCCTCTGCTCCTGATGCTGCTGCTTCTGATGCTGCTGCTCCTGCTGCTGCTGTTCTCCTCACCCCCCACCACCTTCGTTTCAACCACCTTTTTTTCCCTCTCTGTTGATGCTGCCGCAGCTGTTGCTGTTGAGTCGACTCAAAAGCCCCTCACCCCCCACAGCCTTCCTTTCAACCACCTGCTTTTCCCTCTCTGTTAATGCCGCCGCAGCTGCTGCTGTTGATGCTGCCGCAGCTGCTGCTGCTGACATGCCACCTCAAGCAGACACATCGGCTGCTACCTTTTTCTTGACAACTTTCTTCCTAACCGTCTTCGTCTCCCCCCTTTCCTCTCCCTCTCCCCCACATGTGTTCTGAGTCGACTCAAACCACGCTGCATCAACTCCTCCCCAAGTGCCCACTCAAGCAGTCGCATCGGCTGCTGCCTTTTTCTTGACAACTTTCTTCCTAACCGTCTACTACTCCCCCCTTCCCTCTCCCTCTCCCCCACATGTGTTCTGAGTCGACTCAAACCACGCTGCATCAACTCCTCCCCAAGTGCCCACTCAAGCAGTCGCATCGGCTGCTACCTTTTTCTTGACAACTTTCTTCCTAACCGTCTACTACTCCCCCCTTCCCTCTCCCTCTCCCCCACATGTGTTCTGAGTCGACTCAAACCACGCTGCATCAACTCCTCCCCAGGTGCCCACTCAAGCAGTCGCATCGGTTGCTGCCTTTTTCTTGACAACTTTCTTCTTAACAGCCTTCTTCTCCCCTCCACCTTCCGCCCCATCCGCACCCTCCCCAGCAGCCCCATCCTACTTCTAGACCACATTCGTTGTCTTCCCTCACTCAAGCAGTCGCATCGGCTGCTGCCTTTTTCTTGACAACTTTCTTCTTAACTGTCTTTTTCTCCCCGCCTCCCTCTGCCCCATCCGCGCCCTCCCCCGCAGCCCCATCCTTCTTCTTCACCACTTTTTTCTTCACCACCTTCTTTTTCTTCCCCTCCCCCGCCTCCCCTTCAGCCGCCCCCTCCCCTTCCGCAGCCTTCTTTTTCTTCACTACTTTCTTCACCACCTTCTTTACCACTTTCTTCTTTCCACCCTCCTTCGCCCCATCCTCCCCTGCTGCTGCCCCTGCTGCTGCTTCTTCCTTTGCACCACCTGCTGCCGCCCCTGCTGCTGCTGCCCCTTCTGCTGGCTTGTCTCCTGCTCCCTCCTCCTCGTCCTCCTCACTGTCACTATCATCGTCATCACTACTTGATTCCACCTCACTCACCTCCGATTCCTTCCCTGCTTCCTCCTTCCCCTCACCACCCTTCTTTTCATCCTTCTTTGCATCTCCACCGTCCTTCTTCTCATCCTTCTTCTCATCCTTCTTCTCATCCTTCTTCTCATCCTTCTTCTCATCCTTCTTCTCATCTTTCTTCTCATCGTCATCATCATCATTATCATTCGCCACATGGCGTTTCTTAATCGCAGCAAGCATGTTAACCGGCCCCTTTTTCCCCTCCTCCTTCTTCCCCTCTCCTTCCTTCTCCCCATCCTTCTCCCCGTCCTTCTTCCCATCCTCTCCCCCCTCCGCTTTCTCCTCCCCTCCCCCCCCTCCCCCTTCCTTCTCCTTCGCTTCTTTCGCCTCCTGTGCTGCTTTCTCCTTTGCTGCTTTCGCCGCTCTTTCAGCCGCTTTCTTCTCCTCCAGTTCCTTCTTCTTTTTCTCCTCCGCTTCTTTCTTCTTCTCCTTCTCGATTCGCTTGATCTCCGCCTCAGCATTCTTTATGTTCTCGTCTTGAGACTTCTTGAAAGACTGCACGAAATTGTGCAGCACGGTGGCAACTGGGAGTGATACAGGAGCGGGGGGTGGGCGGGGAGGGGCGGGGGGGGGGAGGGGGGGTGCGGAGGCGGGGGACGGGAGGGGTGATATGAAGGTTGTTTTATACGTACTCGGCTTGAGTTGAGATTTCTTGAACGAATGCACGAAACTGTGAAGCACGGTAGCAACTGGGAGTCATAGAGGGGAGCGGGAAGGGACGGGTGGGATGGTATGAAGGTTGGATGATATGCTCTCGTCTTGAGACTTCTTGAACGACTGGACGAAGTTGTGCAGCACAGTGACTTTTGAGAATTATCAAAAGTCACTTCTTGAACGACTGGACGAAGTTGCGCAGCACAGTGGCAACTGGAAGGGAGCGACAGGGGAGAACGGGGCGGGGGCGGGGGCGGGGGCGGGGGCGGGGGCGGGGGCGGGGGCGGGGGCGGGGGAAGAGGGACGGGAGAGGGGGAGGTTGCTTTATTAGTTGTCGTCTTGAAGCTTTATAGAAGACTGCACTTTTAAGAGGCCCCGAAATATGAAGGTTCCGAGAGATGGGATGGGAGATATAAAGGTTGCATGTGATATTCTGGCCTAGAGACCTCTTAAGGACTGGACGAATTTGTGCAGCATGGAGGCAGTGTATGTTTTTCGAGAATTCTCAAAAAGCATGGAGGCAACGGGGGCGGGAAGAGGGTGACAGGACAGCGGAAAATAGAGGTAGGCTGTGTTGAGCGTTGTCTTCTTTTGAGACGTCTCAAAAGCGGAAAATAGAGGTAGGCTGTGTTGAGCGTTGTCTTCTTTTGAGACGTCTCAAAAGCGGAAAATAGAGGTAGGCTGTGTTGAGCGTTGTCTTCTTTTGAGACGTCTCAAAAGCGGAAAATAGCGGTAGGCTGTGTTGAGCGTTGTCTTCTTTTGAGACGTCTCAAAAGCGGAAAATAGAGGTAGGCTGTGTTGAGCGTTGTCTTCTTTTGAGACGTCTCAAAACTGGAAAATAGAGGTAGGCTGTGTTGAGCGTTGACTTTGCAAGCAGGCGATTCTCATTGTGAAAAAATCAAGGGGATGTGCAAAATGGAGGTAGGTAGGTAGTGCCGTGCGTTTTCATTGTGTGGGTTAGCAAGAGAGGGAGGAGAGGGAGGGGGAGTAGGGAGGAGGGAGGGAGGAATGAGGAAGGAGGTAGGAGGAAGGAGGAAGGAGGAGGGAGGAGAGTCACCTTGTTCCAAGGAGCACTTGGCTGGGTCTTCTCCAAAATCCCTTGCGAGGCATTGTTATTGTGTGATTACTTGGTGGGGTTACGAGAGAGAATATGAGGAAGGAGGGACGAGGGAGGGATGGAAAGAGGAAGGAGGAGAGTCACCTTGTTCGAAGGGGCACTTGGCTAGGTCTTCTCCAAAGTATCTTGAGAGCCCATCCGACAAGTTTCAGTTGAGACGTCTCAAACGGAGGGAGGGAGGAGTGAAAGAGCTCACCTTGTTCAAAAGGGCACTTGGCGGGGTCTTCTCCAAAGTATCTTGAGAGCCCATCTGTTGCCTTGGTCTGCAATACAGAGCAGCCCCCCCCCCATGCACGCACCCATCATGCAGCACCCGTGCAACATCATGCAGCAACATGCACGCCCCATGCGCGCAACACCATGCAACACCATGCAGCACCATGCAGCACCATGCAACACCATGCAACACCATGCAGCACCATGCAGCACCATGCAACACCATGCAACACCATGCAGCACCATGCAGCACCATGCAACACCATGCAACACCATGCAGCACCATGCAGCACCATGCAGCATTGTTCAACAACATGCAGCACCATGCATGCAGCAATGCAGCAAAGCCCAAGTGTGTTATGCAACACAGCACTATAACCCATAATACAGGACCACCAGTCCAGTAGCGCCACTCCACACCATACCACACCACACCACACCACACCACACCACACCACACCACACCACACCACACCACACCACACCACACACCACATGCCATCACACCCATAGAAGGCAACAGCTGCAAACGTTAGCGCAGCCATAAAGCTCCCATACGAACAAGAAATGCAATGCGAATTATTTCTCGATTAAATTTCGACGAAACAACAATGTGTTAGTGCGTGCCACAGGGAAATTTGAGGCTCTAAAACACCTCTGCATCACGGACAGATACACTACCAACAATCAGCATTCAGTAAAAAAGAAAAGTAAAATCAGTAAAGAAGAGAAGAAACCAGTAAACCCAGACACTACAGGCACGCGAGTCAAGGCGATCACAGCAGTAGCCCAGTCAGCCCAGTCAAGGCAGTCAGCCCAGTCAAGGCAGTCAGCCCAGTCAAGGCAGTCAAGGAAGTCAACCCACCACGTCAGCATAGAGTGCAGCCAGCCTCTTGGATCCTGACGTGGCTTCCTCTGCGAACTCTTTCAGGGCCTGCGGTGGATGGATGGGATGGGGGAGGGGGCCGAGAGGCGGGGATGACTGTTGAGGAAGCCACTCAAAAGCCTCTTGGATTGGATCCTGACGTGGCTTCCTCTGCCAACTCTTTCAGCGCCTGCGGTGGTGGTGGGGGTGGGAGGGGTCGGGTCGGGGAGGCATAAACGGTTGAGCAGAACGGGTAGGTTGGCAATCGTCGTGACGACAAGCTTGGCAAGCATGCATGTCTGCATGTATGTCTGCATGCATGTCTGCATGTATGTCTGCATGCATGTCTGCATGTATGTCTGCATGCATGTCTGCACGTATGTCTGCATGTATGTCTGCATGTATGTCTGCATGTATGTCTGCATGCATGTCTGCATGCATGTCTGCCCACCTTTTGGGAGTTCTTTGAGTGAGACCAGACCAGACCAGACCAGACCAGACCAGACCAGACCAGACCAGACCAGACCAGACCAGACCAGACCAGACCAGACCAGACCAGACCAGACCAGACCAGACCAGACCAGACCAGACCAGACCAGACCAGGCCGTCCTTCTCCGATGCCACCAGTTCGCGCTGAACTGAAATGATCCACCTACTCTTGTGAGATGAGTCGATTTTTGAGTCGACTCAACTCACGCTGAAATGCCACCACCTACTCTTCCCCCCCAAGCCCCCACAACCTCTGAAGTAGTACACCCCCTTCCCCCCCCCGCCCCCCCCACACCCCCCCTTGACCCGCCACCTTTGCCCACCGTTCCACGGAAGGGGTATTCTCACACGGAATGCCCTTACCCCCCCTCCTTGCCCACCGCTAGGAAGTTCTCCCACACGGGCCCGTCCTTCTCTGATGCCACCATTTGTGTTGTCTCCCTACCCATCCCCCCATCTCCTCCTTTTCTAAACTCCCTCCCAAAGTAATTCCCTTAACACACCGCGCGGAAGTTCTCAGACACAGGCCCGTCCTTCTCTGATGCCACCATTTCATGTTCGCAAGCCATGACTACTCCCTCATGCTCAAGCCCACCCCCCACTTCCCCTCACCGTTCGGAAGTTCTCAGACACGGGCCCGTCCTTCTCTGATGCCACCATTTCATGTTCGCAAGCCATGACTACTCCCTCATGCTCAAGCCCACCCCCCACTTCCCCTCACCGTTCGGAAGTTCTCAGACACGGGCCCGTCCTTCTCTGACGCCACCATTTCGCGCTCCAGCTTGGTGGTGCCGCTGTTGAGCTGGCCCATCTCCTCTCCCAGCTGCTTCACTTGGATCTGAACGGGGTGAGAGGTGTTGGGGTGCGGGTGTGGGGGGAAGGACGGAAGAGGGGAAACCAGGGAGTGGTTCAATGCTCCAGCTCGGTGGTGCCGCTGTTGTGCTGGCTCATCTCCTCTCCCAGCTGCTTCACTTGAATCTGATTTGGGGGGGGAGAGGAATATAAGGGTCAAAAGGGAGAGAATGGGGCACACTGCACGCTCCAGCTTGGTGGTGCCGCTGTTGAGCTGGCTCATCTCCTCTCCCAGCTGCTTCACTTGAATCTGAAAGGTGGAGGAGGGAGGGAAGGGATTCGGGTGGTGAGGAGAGCAGGGGGTAAGGGGAAGAGAAAGGGTTACAGTCCAGCTTGGTGGTGCCGCTGTTGAGCTGCTGCATCTCCTCTCCTAGCTACTTCACTTGAATCTGAGAAGGGGAGGTGGGGGGGGAGACAATGAGGGCAGAGAGGACAATGAGGGCAGAGAGGACAATGAGGGCAGAGAGAACGATAGCGGGTGGGAGGGAAGAGAAGAGGGGAGCCCGATAGTGGGTCAATGGCTCAACTTAGTGCTGCTCAAGTGCTGTTTGGCAGGTTCGGTTTTGAAGAAGTGTTTTGAGACGTCTCAAAACACTTCTTCAAAGAAGAAGGAAGCCCGATAGTGGGTCAATGGCTCAACTTAGTGCTGCTCAAGTGCTGTTTGGCAGGTTCGGGAGACAAACGGTGTGGGCAGGTTTGGGAGACACACCTTGTGGGCAGGTTCGGGAGACACACCTTGTGGGCAGGTTCGGGAGACACACCTTGTGGGCAGGTTCAGAAGACACACCTTGTGGGCAGGTTCGGGAGACAAACCTTGTGGGCATCTTCAAGGGACGGCAGCTCCTCCCAGAACAAGGCGAGCTCAGGCAGCTTCTCCGTGAGCACCTGAAAGGGAGGTGGGGGGGAGGCGAGGGGAGTAGGCGTAGGAGGAGAGGGGGGGAAACACAGGTTTACTTTACAGCACGCAGCTCCTCCCAGAACAAGGCGAGCTCGGGCAGCTTTTCAGTGAGCACCTGAAAGGGAGGGGGGGGGAAGGCGAAGGGAGTAGGTAGGCGTAGGGGGAGAGCGGGGTAACACAGGTTTGCTTTACAGCACGCAGCTCCTCCCAGAACAAGGCGAGCTCGGGCAGCTTCTCCGTGAGCACCTGAAGAGAATATACAGAGAAAAGCAGGGTTCGCATGGAGAATGTACATTCAATCGTGAAAATGATCAGCAGAAGAGCTTATTGCTTGCACTTGGGTGGGCACACAACAAAACAAGGTACGGACACCTGTCTGTCTGCTGTGGGTAGCTGAGGAGGGGTCCGTGGGCAGGCTTGCTTTGCACAGACGAAATAGAGAGAGAGAGAGAAGGACCGTTTTGAGACGTCTCAAAACTTCACTCTATCACGTGCGCAGGCTTGCTTTGCACAGACGAAATAGAGAGAGAAGGAGCGTTTGAGTGAAGAGAAAACAGATGGACATTACGTGTGGAGAACAAGAAAGAGAGTACGGCAGGATAAACAAGGGGAATCTTCACTCCTCGGCAGCTCCCACCTCGGTGAGATAGTGCATGATGAGGGTCATCTTGTTGCACAGAAAAACAGTTTCGACCTGGATCCAACAGGTAACTCGTCCTAATCTCCTCCTAATCTCCTCTAGGCTGAGCTTAGGCTAGTAGGGTTTGAATAGATAAGAGATTTTCATTCAAACCTGAGCGTACGCGCATTTCGGCCGGTGGCCTTCATCAGCGCTCTTGGTGAGATAGTGCATGATGAGGGTCATCTTGTTGCGCGTCTTGGTGGCTTCAGCAAACTGTCCAACTTGAAAGCAAATCCACCCCACTCATGGGTTCACTTTACCAGCACAACTGCACCCATCAGCACCCATCTTCACCACTAAGCACCTACTTACCTTGGCCAGATAGTGCATGAGCGTCATCTTGTTGTTGTTGAGCGTCTTGGTGTCGGTGAGCTTCAGCAGACTTTTGAGACGTCTCAAAACTCTTCTTTTTTCACGTGTCTTGGTGTCGGTGAGCTTCAGCAAACTGTCCAGCTTGAAAGCCAACCCACCCCACTTATGGGTTCACTTTACGAGCACAACTGCACCCACCTTGACCCCTCAACAACCCCACCTTCACCACACAGCACCCAGCTTCACCGCACAGCACCCACCTTGGCCAGATAGTGCATGAGGGTCATCTTGTTGTTGCGCGTCTTGGTGTCGGTGAGCTTCAGCAGACTGTCCAGCTTGAACCCCACGGCAGAGCCCCTGGCGGTGCCCTGGTTGAGCGCGTTCCCCAGTGACAGAATGGTCTGCATGATGCGCCTCAGCCTCTTGGAATCCCGCACCTGGCGTGGTGCCATAGGGAAGAGCAGGGAGAGAGAAGAGGGAGAGAGAGTGGGGAGTGGTGGGAGGTTGAACCCCGCGGCCGGCATTTGAGTCGACTCAAAAGGAGGTTGAACCCCACGGCCGGCATTTGAGTCGACTCAAAAGGAGGTTGAACCCCACGGCCGGCATTTGAGTCGACTCAAAAGGAGGTTGAACCCCACGGCCGGCATTTGAGTCGACTCAAAAGGAGGTTGAACCCCACGGCCGGCATTTGAGTCGACTCAAAAGGAGGTTGAACCCCACGGCCGGCATTTGAGTCGACTCAAAAGGAGGTTGAACCCCACGGCCGGCATTTGAGTCGACTCAAAAGGAGGTTGAACCCCACGGCCGGCATTTGAGTCGACTCAAAAGGAGGTTGAACCCCACGGCCGGCAGAGCCAGTGGCTGGCGGTGCCCTGATTGCGTTGAGCGCATTCCCCAGAAATAGAATGGTCTGCATGATGCGCCTCAGCCTCTTGAAATCCCGCACCTGGTGTGGTGCCATAGGGAAACAGCGGCGACAGGGAAGAGAGGAGAGAGGGAGTGGTGGGTGAAAGCTTGAACCCCACAGCAGAGCCCCTAGCAGTGCCCTGGTTGAGCGTGTTCCCCAGGGACAGAATGGTCTGCATGATGCGCCTCAGCCTCTTGGAATCCCGCACCTGGCGTGGTGCCATAGGGAAGAGAGAGGGGGAGAGAGGGAAGACGGGGATGAAGGGAGTGGATCGTAGAGTGGGGTTGAGAGGGACGAGGGGAGGCAAGAAAAGAGAGGGCAGAAGGGGAGGCGAGGAGGGAAAAGCGAGGAAAGAGGGAGAAGCGGGAGAAGTGGGGGGAGGCGAGGGAAGAGGGGGAGGGAAGAGGAAGCGAGGGAGAGCGGGAAGCGAGGGAAGAGGGGGAAGTGAGGGAAGAGGGGGGGGGGGGGAGTGAGGGAAGAGGGGGAAGCGCGCACCTCATCTCCTTAAATTCACTTTCACACTCATCAACTCAAGGTTATGTCACTGTCACACTCTCACCTCCTCACAGTCCGTCACACCCACTCACCCCCCTAGAGTCACACTCACCTCTTAGGGGCACACTCACCTCCTTACAGTCGCACACACCTCCTTACAGTCACACTCACCTCCTTACACGCATTGTGGACCAGATCCAGATTGCGCTGCACGTCCTTGACCTGCAGGTGGGTAGGTAGGGGGCACAGTGGAATGATGGAATCCGCGTGTGATGAAGCAGTTCGGGGGTGTACTGTTAGTCAACTCAACAATTACATTGCACATCCTTGACCTGCAGGTGGGTAGTGTAGGGGGCACAGTCGAATCCGCGTGTGATGAGGCAGTTCGGGGGTGTTATTAATCCGGGGATGTACTGTTTTTAGTCAACTGAACAATCACGCTGCACGACCTTGACCTGCAGGTGGTGGGTATACTTAGATCACTCATGAGAAAAGTAGCCAACAGAACGGCGCCCAGGAAAAGAATGAAAGAAAAGAAAAGAAAAGAAAAGAAAAGAACACATTGTGAACGCAAACCTGTGGTCTGGATGCAAACCGGAAGACGGACAGGATTCAGAAGTGGTGATGTCGTTTTGATTTTGCCTTGCGGCAAGCCGATATTGAAAATGCAGGTAGAGATACAGCTTTCGAGGCGCCCCAACGGTGTGCTTTGGTTGTTGCCTTGTGTGACGAGCCGAGCCCTAGCCAAGCCAAACCCCACCATACTTTACCAGCACTTCTGAAGCCTGCTGCTGGAACACTTGTGCTGCCTGTCTCTTTACCACTTGCCAGCAAGCCCTCAACCGACGCACGTGATGAGTAGCCACGTGAAGCAAGGTTGCTTTTGAGACGTCTCAAAAGCAACCTCGCTTCACCTGAAACACTCGTGCTGCCTGTCTCTTTACCACTTGCCAGCAAGCCCTCAACCGACACACGTGATGAGACACGCATGAAGCAAATGCCACGTGGCACTCCCCTCACCTGCTGGTCATACAGCAACTTGAACTCAAAGATCCGCAGCTTGGCTTCCATACACCACTGGCCACACACATGGCATGGCATGGCATGGCATGGCATGGCATGGCATGGCATGGCATGGCATGGCATGGCATGGCATGGCATGGCATGGCTTGGCTTGGCTTGGCATGGCATGGCCCTCACCTGCTGGTCGTACGACAGCTTGAGCACAAATATCCGCAGCTTTTCTTCCATACAACACTGGCCACACGCATGGCATGGCATGGGCATGGGCATGGGCATGGGCATTCACCTGCTGGTCGTACGACAGCTTGAACTCAAAGATCTTCAACTTGGCTTCGATACGCGGCGCTCGCAGCATCTCCAGGAAGAACTGCTCGCACTTGCCCAGCTTCTCCGGCGGCATGCCACAGCCCTGGGGGATGGGGATGGGAGGAATAGCAGTGGATAGGAGGGCACAATGGGAAGGGGAGAGAGGAAGGAGAGACAGATAAAGAACTGCTCGCACTTGCCCAGCTTCTCCGGAGGCATGCCACAGCCCTGCGGAGCGGGATGAGGGCAGGAGGGGATCATAGAGGGTAAAGGGAAGGGAAGTGGGAGGGAAGGAGAGAAATTACGACGCTCGCAGCATCTCCAGGAAGAATTGATCGCACTTGCCCAGCTTCTCCGGAGGCATGCCACAGCCCTGGGAGATGGGGATGGGAGGAATAGCAGTGGATATGAAAGGAAGTAGAGGGAAAGGAAAGGAAGTTATGACGCTCGCAGCATCTCCAGAAAGAACTGCTCGCACTTGCCCAGCTTCTCCGGGGGCATGCCACAGCCCTGCGGAGCGGGATGAGGGCAGGAGGGGATAATAGAGGGTAAAGGGAAGGGAAGTGGGAGGGAAGGAGAGAAATTACGACACTCGCAGCATCTCCAGGATGAACTGCTCGCACTTGCCCAGCTTCTCCGGAGGCATGCCACAGCCCTGAGAGGCGAGGATGGGAGGAATAGCAGGGGATAGGAGGGCACAATGGGAAGGGGAGATAGGAAGGAGAGGCAGATAGTTACGCTCTTAGCATCTTAAGAAAGAATTGCTCGCACTTGCCCAGCTTCTTTGGAGGCATGCCACAGACAGCCCTGTAAGGGAGGAGGGGATAGGGGGGACAGGAGGGGATAAAAGAGGACAAAGGGAAGGAGACAGAGGAAGGAGAAGCAGATTGCACGCACGCAACAGCTCCAGAAAGAACTGCCTCGCAACCAGCTTGCCTCACCCGTCCAACTCACTACCACCATCAAGGTCGTTTCTTGAGGCGCCTCAGAAACGACCTCAAGCTTGCCTCACCCGTCCAACTCACTACCACCATCATACCTTTCCTTCCCTCCCCACCCAGCTGCCACGCACCTTGAGCATCTCCGCTTCTTCCTTGGCGGGGCAGAACTTGAGCAGAGCATCCACCTTCTCCCCATCAGCACCTGTTCGGAGCTGGTCCGAGCCAGAGGCCCTAGTCAGCACTGTGCAATTTGGGCATGGAGGTGTGGGTGGCCACACCTCCATGCCCTCATGCCCCCACGCCCTCATTCTCCAGTCGTCCTTGTTTACTGAAGCACAACTGGCTCACACATCAAACTCACTTCCACCATCACACACAGACACACCTTGAGCATCTCCGCTTCTTCCTTGGCGGGGCAGAACTTGAGCAGAGCGTCCACCTTCTCCGCGTCCAGCACCTTGCTGTCCAGCGCTAGAATGGCGTCCTGAGGAGAGGGGTGGAGGGAGAGGAAGGCACGAGAGTGAGTGAGCGCTGTTTGAGCAGACGGCTTCAGCAGAGCGTCCACCTTCTCCGCGTCCAGCACCTTGCTGTCCAGCGCTAGAATGGCGTCCTGAGGAGAGGGGTGGAGGGAGAGGAAGGCACGAGAGTGAGTGAGCGCTGTTTGAGCAGACGGCTTCAGCAGAGCGTCCACCTTCTCCGCGTCCCGCACCTTGCTGTCCAGCGCTAGAATGGCGTCCTGCGGGGATTATAAGGTGGATTGAAAAGTCGCTTCCACGATTGGAGACACGGATTAGAACGAATCAAAACAGAGAGAATGAGCTGTCAAGAAGAAGATCGGGAAACAAGTGGAGATTGCAGCACGAGACGAGACTGACAGAGAGGCTGACTGAATGGTGAGGAGGGGGAATGTCTGATCTGAGCTGCGGCACAAGGGTTGGGTTGAGCGTCTTCAACTCAACTCACCACAATCTCCGAGTATTTGAGGTGATAATAAGTTGTTTTTGAGACGTCTCGAAAACAACTTATTATCGAATGGTGAGGAGAGGAGAGGGAGCATCTGACCTGAGCTGCGGCACAAGGGTTGAGCAGCTTCAACTCAACTCACCACAATCTCAGTGTATTTCAGGTGCTTCATATTGGAAAGCATAATCCCAGAAACTCCACTTGCCAGAATTCGTTTCAACCCTTCTACACAGCTCCCTACCGCACCGCACCGCACCGCACTGGAACTCACCACAATCTCATTGTATTTGAGGTGCTTCATGTTGGAAAGCATAATCATACAATTGTTGGCTCGCTTCATATCAATCTGAGACGCAACCGAAAAGGAAAAGGAATCGGGGAAAACGTAATGAGTCGGCTTGTAAAACACCAGCTGTTGTAGGGATGAGCAAGTGGCGAACACGAACGTGTTCGTGTTCGCCCCTACACGAACACCTTCGTTTGCCGAACCGAACACTGTTCGGTTCGGCGAACACTTTGAGCAAAAAATGGTGTTCGCCATTCGCCTGTGAAGGCGTGTTCGGGCGAACCTCGAACACTGTTCGTGTTCGTCGCGGGCAAATTGCAGCAGCGGCCCGAACACGAACGTGTTCGGGTGAACATCGAACACTGTTCGGCGAACATTTTAAGCAAAAAAAAAATACCTGTTCGGTTCGCCTCGAACACGTTCGAGGCGAACCGAACAGGTGTTCGTTTTTTTGCTCAACCCTAAGCTGTTGGCACGCTTGACGTCAATCGATCTGAACTACAACCAGAAAGGCGTCTTTTGAGGCGCCTCAAAAAGCTGAACTACAACCAGAAAGGCGTCTTTTGAGGCGCCTCAAAAAGCTGAACTACAACCAGAAAGGCGTATGAACAAGAGCTGCAACGAAGAAGTTGTGTTGACTAGAAAAGAAAGGACTGTCGACCGCACCCTTCAAGTGGGTTTGAACTGAAGCACACAGCAGAGAAGACGAGCACACAAGGAGGCACAAGAATAGGGTGCTTACGGGACACGAGGCACGAGGCACAGGGAGCATGAGGAACGAGGAGGCACAAGGCATTGGGGGAGGCACGAGGCAGAAAACAGACACGAGGCACGAGGCACGAGGCAACTCACAAGAGAGAGTGCTTGCGGCTTGGCCTCCTTCTTGGGCCCGGTGTCTTTCTTCTTGGGGGGAGGGGCGGCAGAAAACAGATCCTCCAGCTCTGGGTATAGCGCCTCCAGGTCCAGCCTGCACCACATGCAGACAAAGAACGCCGCCCACATGCAAACAAGGGAGACAGACCGCCCGGATGCAGGAAAATGGTGTTTTGATGAGAGCAGGGGGTGGAACAAGGTGCGTGAGCCGAATGGTCATGGAGGGTTACAGAAGCATGATAAGGTGCAGTGCGGTGCAGTGCGGTAAGGTGCAGTGCAGTAAGGTGCAGTGCGGTAAGGTGCAGTGCGGTAAGGTGCAACATATGGAAGAATCGCGTCAACAAGGAGGATGGGGAAAGGGGGGACGGGGGGTGGGGGGGGGACGGGGGGTGGGGGTGGGGACAGGGGGTGGGGGTGGGGACGGGGGGTGGGGGTGGGGACGGAACGGATGAGACGAATAACAAAGGAACAGAGAGGAGGAAAGAAGCGAGGAAAGAACCAGGAGGCAGTAGAGAAGGAAAGAGACGCAGAAAGAGAGAGGAGGGAGGTACGCAATTGGGGGTGGCAGCGACCTGCTCCTCCTTCTGCACTTCAGCCCACATGTTCCCCTCCCCTCCACCACTCGAGTCACCTTCCTTTGAGACGTCTCAAGAAAGAGGAGGAGAGTGAGAGGAGGAAAGAGAGAGGAGGAAAGAGAGAGGAGGGAAGAGAGAGGAGGGAAGCACTCACTTGGGGGTAGCAGCGACCTGCTCCTCCTTCTGCACCTCCGCCCACATGTTCCCCTCCACCACTCGTGTCACCTTCCCCCAGAAAAACGCCTTCAGGGGGGTCTTCTTCTTGGGGGGGGGCGCAGCAGCTGCAAAACCCCCCTTGAACCCCCCGGGGGGAGGGGGCCCCGGGGGACCCTTCCCCTTGAACCCGGGGGGGGGAGGGGGACCCTTCCCCTTGAACCCGGGGGGAGGAGGGGGGCCCTTCAATCCGGGGGGAGGGGGAGGGCCTGGAGGGCCTTTTCCCCCTGGGGGCGGGGGAGGGGGAGGTGGTCCGCCCTTGCCCCCTGGGGGAGGGGGGGGCGGGGGGGGACCCTTTCCCCCCCCAGGGGGAGGGGGAGGGGGTGGGGGGCCTCTGGGCCCGCCAGGAGGGGGAGGGGGAGGGGGAGGTCCTCTGGGCCCGCCAGGGGGAGGGGGAGGCGGGGGAGGGCCCCCGCCTGGGGGAGGGGGTGGGGGGGGAGGAGGGGGAGGGCCACCACCTGGGGGAGGAGGTGGGGGGGGAGGTGGGGGAGGGCCCCCGCCAGGGGGAGGGGGAGGTGGAGGGGGAGGGGGAGGTCCCCCACCTGGGGGAGGAGGTGGAGGGGGCGGAGGAGGCGGGGGGGCCCGCCCCCCTGGCGGAAGGGGAGGAGGGGGAGGAGGAGGAGGGGCACCCCCTGGAGGAGGGGGCGGGGGAGGAGGCGGGGGAGGGGGCGGGGGAGGACCCCCTCCTGGGGGAGGGGGTGGGGGAGGAGGCGGGGGAGGGGGCGGGGGAGGACCCCCACCTGGGGGAGGGGGTGGGGGAGGGGGTGGAGGGGGAGGGGGAGGAGCGCCTCCGCCTGGGGGAGGGGGTGGGGGAGGGGGAGGCGGAGGAGGCGGGGGAGGTCCCCCTCCTGGGGGAGGAGGCGGGGGAGGGGGGGCTACTTTGGGACTGGGTGGGTCTGGCTCAGCCATCTTTGCAGCTAATGCTGCCTTTCTAGCTGCCCTCTCCTCCTGCCTCCTTCTCTGCTCCTCCCTCCACCTCTCCTCCTCCCTCCTCTCCTCTTCCTCTTCCTCCAACCTCCTCCTCTCAGCCTCTTTCCGCCTCTCTTCAGCCTTCCTCAGCTTCTCCTGTTTCTTCCTCTCTGCTGCAGCCTCAGCAGCAGCAGCAGCTGCAGCAGCCGCCTCTTCCTCCTCATCCTCCTCTTCCTTCTCCTCCTCCTTCTCCTCCTTCTTCTCTTCCTTTTTCTCCTCCTCCTCTTCCTTCTCCTCCTCCTTCTCTTCCTCCTTCTCCAGCTTCTCCTCTTCCTTCTTCTCCTCCTCCCCCTTCTCCAGCCCCTTCTGCCCCAGCAACCCCATCTCGGGCAACTTAAACCCCGGCACCCGTTTCGACATCCTCCTTAAAAGCTTCCCCAGAACAGGATTCAGCTCCGGATCCCACTCGTTCCAATACAACGACGGCCCATTCGCTAAATCCAACCAAAGCATCTTCAAATCCCCCGCACTCGCCCTCTCTCTCCTCGTCAGCCCCTCCTCCTCCGTATAAGTCTGCTCCGCAAACAACAACCCAGGCGGCAACACCATCTCCGACCCAACCTTCCTCCGCACCTTCCCGCCCGGAAACCCAAACATCCCAAACCCTAAACCACTCCCAAACGGCCGAGATGGCGACGGGCTCCCATCCCTCGAATGCAACATGCTCGAAAACGTCGGAGAAGTATCAGCTGAATCCAAATCCGAAGCATAATCGCTATCATCTAGCATATCCCCTGCAAACCCCGCCCCTCCTGGGCCCCACTTCCCACCTGCCGGCACCCGGGTTCGAACCCGCAACCCTCCACTGCGGCGGTTTCTCCTCTTGGTACTGGCTGCGGAGTAGATGGTGTGGCGGATCTCTTCTAGGGCGCGTGAGCTGTCGTCCTGCGACCAATTGGAATCCTCAAAAGCCTCCTTGAGCTTGAGGAAGGAATCGAGGGGTAGACCGCCGAAGTCGTCTGCCGCCAGGGAGGTGGCGGCTGGTGGAGGCAGTACCTTGGACTCCCGGTCCGTCAGAAGGATCTGGAGGGTGAGTGGGTAGGGCAAGGGCAACACCGAACGCGGGTCAGAGAGGGAAATCAGAAGAATCTGGAGGGTGGGGCAGGGGCACGAGCAGCATTAAATGCACATGCTAAAGGGAAATGGCGTGCCTAGAAATGCTGACGAAAGTGATTTTTGGAGCATCCCGCACCGCAACCCCTGAAGAACGTTCACCTCACCTCAACTCAGGCTAATGCCACACCTCACCTCCACTCTGAAGTCCTGTGTGAAGCGCTCTCGTGTGTGCCAGAGGATATCGAGATCGTCCCGGGAGAGCACGAGCATGTTAGATCGCACACGGGCCGTGTTGATCGCCAGTCATTCGCCACGCCATCTGCTCACTACCATTTGCCTCAAACCTCATCTCCACTCTCTGATGTCTTGTGCGCCACCGCACTGCACCCACCCCAACCCTAACAGAAATCTAATAACAGAAATCTCATATATCAACCCTACACAAGAACTCACCTCCACTCTGAAGTCCTGCGTGAACCGCTCCCTTGTGTGCCAGAGAATATCGAGATCGTCCCGCGAGAGCACGAGCATGTTGGATCGCACGTGGGCCGTGTTGAACGCCACTCGCCACACCATCTGCTCGCTGCCCGCGCCCTCCATGTCCACATGCACGCACTCTATCACCACGTCCCCCTGCACCACCGCCATCACATCCATCTTCACCACCTCCGCCTCTCTCTGGTTGTTGGGGTGTGCGAGAGAACGGGAAAGGAGGTTTGGAAAGGAAGGGGCGTTTGAGTCAAGCTGTCCACATGCACGCACTCTATCACCACGTCCCCCTGCACCACTGCCATCACATCCATCTTCACCACCTCCGCTTCCCTCTGGTTGTAAAAAAGGGAAAAAAGGGGAGGGGAGCAGGTGAGGAGGGGAGCGGTTGAGGAGGGGGACCATTCGGTCGAGTCGACCATCTGCTCGGCGCCTCCCCACTCCATGTCCACATGCACGCACTCGATCATCACATCGGCCTGCACCACCGCCGTCACATCCATCTTCACCACCTCCGCTTCCCTCCCTCTGGCTGTTTGGAAGGGGGAGCGCAAGGGGGGCAGGGTGGGTGGGGAGGGAGGTGGTGTGTGCGGGGAACTTGTGAGTTGACCCACATGCACACACTCGATCACCACATCGCCCTGCCCTGCACCACCGCCGTCATATCCATCTTCACCACCTCCGCTTCCCTTTACTTGTTGTAGGAGGGCAGGGAGGCGGAGGGGGGGGGGGGGATGGGAAAGAAAGGAGGTGTGAGTCTAGTCTAGCAGCCAAATGCACGCAATCCATCACCACGTCGCCCTGTACCACTGCCATCGCATCCATCTTCACTATCCCCCTTCACTCTGGCCGCCAAAAGTGGGAGAAAGGACAAGGGAGGGCGGGGACGTGTGAGCCGACCCACCCACATGCACACACTTGTAAAAAGAGTAGTTTTGAGACGTCTCAAAACTACTCTTTCTACACGTGAAAAGGGCAAGGGAGGGCAGGGACGTGTGAGCCCTTGCACTCAGCAGATCTCTTTACCCCTTGCCTCACCTGCAGGTAGCACTCAGCAGATCTCTTTACCCCTTGCCTCACCTGCAGGTAGTACTTGGCTCGATTCACGCCATGCCTCGCGCTCAGAAACAGCAGCCCCGAATCTCGGTTCTCCGGCAGGCCAGGATCGCGCCCAAACACCCTAATCACAGGACAGCACCCGCCCCTCGCATCCCTATTCACCTCGACCAACCCCTAGCCTCACCTGCAGGTAGTACTTGGCTCGATTCACGCCATGCCTCGCGCTCAGAAACAGCAGCCCCGAGTCTCGGTTCTCCGGCAGGCCAGGATCGCGCCCAAACACTCTGATCACAGGGCAGCACCCGCCTCTAGCGTCCAGCTGTGGCACACCGCGCATAATCACACAGTCTAGAGTCACCATCCGGCTGCTGCTCGCTCCCAGACACCCCTCTCTAGAAGACAGAACCAGCACCTGGCTCCCCCACTCGCTGCCCTCCTCCTCCGCCACCCCTTTTCCCTTCCCCTTCCCCTTCTTGTCCTTGCTTTCCCTCTCAATAAACCCGTGGGGTAAAGAGCTGACGCAGTGGGCTATGTGCTGAAGGTACCTCGCCTGGGAAGGGACAGGGTTTAAGGGGTAATGCAGCTGTAGGAAGCCCCTAGGAGCCGCTTTGTAGATGCCCTGTAAGAGATCTCGCTCCTCCTCTCCGTTCCATTCCTTGTGGAACACTAAGAACGAGGCGATCATAAACGCCAAGAGAGGCCACCCGCCTCGCTCGCAGTGCAAGAGAACGATGTTTTTCCGCCGCCCGTTGCCGCCCGGTGAAGCCAACCCTAATTGCTGCTGCTGCTGCTGCTTTGCTGGTGTCCCCCCATCAGCCTCCTCCAATAACGTTTTTGCCAGATTTGGCTTGCGACCGGGCAGGTCAAATTCCTGCTGGAGCCAGCTATTGGTGGACTGGAGAAAATGGTCGATTAGGTCAAGAGAAAGAATCGGGCAGCCCTCGAAATGTCTGGGGTACTCAAGAACTGTGGCATCAGAATCTAGAAAATAAGATCCGGCGAAGAGCGTTCGGCTGGAGCCGCTGCTGCCGTCGCGGAAATTGCAGATGAGGATGGATGCGTTGGAGATATGATTGCGGAGATCTGTGCAGATCTGGCGAAAGTAAAGGCGGTAGGTGGCTGTGGTGGGCACGTCGTTGGCAATGCAGGAATCAAACACTGGGGGGGGAAGCAGGGTGGGGGTTGCGGAGAGGGGGAGGGGGATTGGGAGCAGGGGAGGGAGGGATCAGGGAACAAAGGGAAAAGGGGTTGAAGAGGTCAGCGGAAGGGAGAAGGGGTAGGAGGAGGGATCAGAGACCGAAGGAACGAGATGTGGGAGGCCAGAGGGGGGAGGAAAGAAGGGAGGAAATAAGGGAGCAGGGAGGCGGGAGTGAAGTAAGGGATGGAGAGATAGAAGAGTCAAGACTGCTGGAAGGGAAAAAAGGAGGAAGGAAGAGAGCTGTAGAGAACGCAGAGGAAGGGATAGACAGACGGGCAAGGAAGAGGAGAGAGACAGCGTAGTGCCTTTGAGTTGACTAAAAAACAGGGACCGGGGTGACTTATGAATCGACTGGAAAAAAAGGATTGGAGTGATGCCTGATTGAACTCACGAACTACCTAAGACGAAGGTCCGAGGGAAAAGGAGGAGGGGGAAGTGGAGGGTGGTTTGAACTGAAAACGGGAAGTTGGGTCTAGAAGCAAAGGAGGAAATATGAGATACAAGGTAATATGTAGGTACGCGGCTAGACATCCGGAGTCGAATACTCCACGAGACGAGTGAGGATGCAAAGCGAGGCGAGAAGGAAGTAAGGGAAGAGGAGTGGGGGAAAGGAAGCAGACGGCTAATATGTATCGCTCATCGCGACCGTTGAACAGGAAACCTTGCATCCTACTACCAAACCTCAGCAGCGAAATTCCAAGGACAGCTGCCACGCGAAAGCTCGCGCGAGTAGTAACCTGAAGTAACCCTAAAACTCACCGAACACGCGATCGCTGATCTGCAGCAGTCCGTCCGGAGGCGGCGGCGGCGGAGGCTTGGCTGCTTTTTTCCCTCCGAACCACGGCATGCTGGCAATTTATGATCAGAATTTTAGTGGAGGTAGCAGCGGTGGTGGGGGTGGTGGTGGGGAATCTGTACGGTAGCTTTCGTTCAGGAATATTCGCGAAGGTTTTTCTGTCGGTAACGACGAAATGTTGTTACAGCACAGACGTTCAGTGCTGAGCGAGTAATACGACGAACAAAACGGATGGAAGGAGGACCTAGATTGTGGTTGTCGCGAAAGCCAGGACGAGATGTGCGTTTCTCATGCAGCTCTGACACGCGCTGGTCGAACGACACGTGGCTATTATATAAAACCAACGGCCCGAGACGGCCAATTCCTCCATGCAGCTATGTGGGCGTATCGCTGTCAAGGCGTGGCTGTTGTGACATATGGGGCTGGAAATATCGAGGCTAACGAGCTTCGCTTGGCGAGCTGCCAATAACATGGCAGCATGCCAACTGTTTCGCCACTAACGCTCCACGAGATTCTGGGCTGCTGCTGGCAATGCCTGCGATATAACCTCTAGGTGGACTTGTCATGTCATTGGAAACTCCGCCGCGCCGCGAACCCTGACTCATACATTCCTATCCCAAGGTTATGCCTGATTGAAATGTCATGGGCTTGGTGCATCTCACAATCCATACAGCACAGGACACTTGAAGTTGGCTTTCTGCATTATCGCAGAGCAGAACTCGCCTTACTAGCTTAGGGCGTGTTGTGCAGGATAGGTCAACCCGCGGTATGTCTGGTTACCCCCTTACAGGTTGATTCGTTGATTCAACCTCCAAAAATAGCATTAAAGCAGGTTCGATAGTGCCATTATGGGGGTTTCATACGGTGGAAAGCGGATACTCTGCTTCATAGTTTTGCACCGTACACGACAAACATACGAGCTGGATACCCCCTGAAAGAGGCAGTTTGGCTTGGCGGGCACGTCGAGACTCGAGTTTTCAGGTCGTGTCCGTAGGGATGACATGTCAAAGTGGCCAGTGTCAACTTGGCATTTTGACACTCTGCCAACATTGTTGGCAGAGTGTCAAGAAATTGCAGGTTGCCAGCCAATACAAATCGTCGGACACTTTTGAAATTGGCACAGACAAACCTACAAACGAGAGAAGATTGTCGCAGGTACCTATCTCACGACCAGATGCTGCCCAATCAGCACACAATATGTCTTTTGAATTGTTCGTTGCCTAGCAGATCTGGCCATGACAAATTCTCAAACCAATGAAATTGCGTCGCTGATGTTCGTACCTGCGCTTCGACTTGACACTTCCACTACAGTGCTTGACACTCTAATTTGAATGCGCTTCGGATTCACGCGCTCTCACTTGACATGTCAACCCTACGGACACGAACTCACACAAGGCCTCGATTGCGCTTCGTGGCATCGAGTGGGGGACTGAACCATCCCCGTAGCGACTCTGACGACTCAAGAAGCATATCCATAATGGAAGACTACAGTGCACAACATACGTCCAATCGTCACTGCATAACTCGTGTAGTAATGCTCTGTTCTTCAAAAACCTTGTGCAATGAAGACCTAATGAAGAACATAGTCACTATGACCTGATGGAAGGTGTGAAAATGATAACTGAAAGCATGCAACGGTAAAAAGGGCCAAATTTACCAGAATCCATAACAGTCAGGCTCGTTCTATCAACAGCTAATTAGAAAAGCTCACGAACTGCAAGTTACCAAATGTGCTGCATCCAGCTGCTGATTTGCCAAGTGATTACACGTAATCACAATTTACACAGTCCAGCCAAAGATCCAGCAGATAAGTGCAGAGCAGTTAGGTAGTGGCTTCGGCTCAATGATCTCAATTGGCTCCTGTAGTATATGAACGCAATTTTGCCGCACAAGTCAGGAAGTCAATGGTGCAATGCGGGATTTGACAAAGATGCTAAGTGGGTTCAGATGTTAGTGCTTTTTGCCAACAGCAGGAGCCAAAAGAAAGCGGAGCAGCAAAGCAGCAAAACGTACAGGATGGTGGGTTACACACATTATCACATGCATTGGGAGGGATTGGCGCGGAAAATATTACGTAAAGACCAATTTCTTTTAGTCGTACCTGGCAGGTGGCGACTGGTTTCTCTCCCTGCACACCGTTCCGATCCTTATCCTCCTCCACTGGCTTCCCAGCCTCACTTCCTGAGCTCGACCTCGTTTCTGAAACCACAGCCTTCGTTTCTTCCGCAACCCCCCCAGACGATGATGACCCAGCAGCAGCCACTGCCGCTGCCGTGCCAGCAGAACCCTGCTTCTCTGCACCACCCCCAGCCCCTTCCCTTGCATATTCTGCAGTGCTGCTGTTGCTTTCTGTGACTGCAATCTTGGCCTCTGATTCTGGTTGTTTCTCTTCAACTGCAGGCGGTGCCGCCGTGACGGCTGCTGGTTCAGGAATCGGTGTAGGTGCTGTTATAGGTGCAGCAGGCGTTGGTTCAGGTGCTGCTGGTGCAGGCTCAGATGATACCGGTGTGGCCTCTGGAGCAGGCTCAGGGGCTGCAGGGGCTGCAGGCACTGGCTCAGGTGCTTTAGGAGCAGGCTCAGGTTCTGCTGGTGCAGGTTCAGATTCAGGGGCTGCTGGCGCAGGTTCAGATGCTTCAGGTGCAGGCTCAGGGGCTGCTGGTGCAGGTTCAGGTGCTTCGGGTACAGGTTCAGGGACTGCTGGTGCAGGCTCAGGGACTGCAGGTGTAGGCTCAGGTGCTTCAGGTGCAGGCTCAGGGACTGCTGGTGCAGGTTCAGGGGCTGAAGGTGCAGGCTCTGGTGACGGCTCAGGGGTTGGCTCGGGAGCAACAGAGACGGCGGCCGCAGCGACTACTGCTGCTGCAGCTGCCAGCATGACCTCCCCTCCATCCTTGGGCTGGGATGCAGCTGAAGCTGACGAATCAGCATCTGCTGAGGCTTGTGGTGTGGCAGTTGCGGGAGCTGTTGAGAAGGGACGGAGAGACCACAAGCAAACAGAAAAAGCAAACTTGAATAATGTTCAGTTAGCGAATGACAACCCCAGCTACGCCAGAAACCGTGCATTATGAACCTTACTCCATGAACAATACTGCATGAACCGGAATATAAACAGCCCCCCAAATAGGACAGCGTGATCAGCATGATCAGCGTGATCAGCGTACTTTGAGCTTTCCAGCTGGCGACCAGGCATTGCCAAAGCCGTCTTATTTCAATAAAGGGTCTAAGGGCGGGTTCCATCATTTCGACCCTTGCATGGCCCAGTTAGGAGGAAAAAACTGTTGGTCGTAATGTATTCTCGCAGCGGTTTACGTCGATGAATTCGCGATTTATTCAGTTACTTACGACTGAAAGGCAGAGAAACCATGAAGAGTGCAGCACGACATTGCCACAATTCGCTTACCATGGCGAATACAAGATTCCATTACCTTGCACACCGACGGCTTCAGAGGATGCCTTTTTCTTGTTCTTCTTCTTTCCCCCTCCTCCTCCGCCAGCTCCCCCATTCGACGAAGCATTTGCCTGAGCCGACTGTTCTGGCGCAGTCGCTTGCGTCGCCTGAGTCGCCTGAACGGCCTTTTGTGGTTCCTCTGGTTTCACGTCGCCTGGGACGGGAAAGTCATGCGACATCAAGGAAATCATGTAAAGGCGCAGATCCGTTTCTATTCCTGCCAGATCTGCAAAAAAAAATGACACGGATGGAAGGAGATGCAAGAACAGGCCGATGCAGAGAGTTTCTGAGCTGACCTTTGGTTGAGACCGCATCCGATGCCGTCGCTGGAGTCGCAGGAGTCGCCGGTGTCGCAGGAGTGGTCGGAGTCTCGGGCGTATCTTTCGAGTTCGCCGTGGACGACGTTTTCTCTGCAGCTGAAGCATAGACGCGGGTATGGAAGTACACGTACTTGATTGCGTCGTGGATCTAGAATATTGAAGTGGCGTGAAATTTCTCAGAAGGGTCATTGATGCGTACAAGAGCTAGCGAGTGGCAAACTCGTACCAGTGTTCACTGTCGGCTTGTTCTTGTTCTTCTTATTCTTCTTTGACGGCATTTTGACTCAATGAAAAGAGAATAAATGTTATCGCTAGGATATACTGTACTAGAAAAAGGAGGCTCGATACGCGAAGAGGACAAGATCCGAGCTGGGCTCAAGCTATTAGAATAAATGTTTTTTTTTTAAGCAATGGACAAGCAGGTTGAATAAACGCTCTCTCCTGCTGCTTCGCTTCAGTCTAAACCAGCAGCAGGAGGAGCACGAGATTCCATTCAAAGCAGAAAGCAACCATAACAGCAACCAGACTGGAAAAGGCTAAGACAACGACTGGGAAAGGCGATTATGATGTTCGGATGATGCATGGATGTCACAAGCCCACTATTGTATAGCACGGTTCAGTAAGATGCTTTCTGTAACAGAGCGGTTGTTGAAGATTCCAAGGGTTGGAAACGCAAGAAATTTGTTTACACGAAAGCCTAGACGGTTCACCTGACACTCACCCAATCCGGTTTGACCCATCTTTCTCGCCCCATCTTCAGGGACGTTGCTTCGCAGATGAATGGCACTCGATCGGACGGCCCGCGGCACCTGTCAGCAAGTTTCAGCTCCCGCGCTCCTCCAGTCAATTCTGCTACGGGCACGTGCGAACGCCAACAAATCTATTTGTGCTTCAGACAACGGAGCTGGTAGCGTTGGTGTTCTCCTCTCCTGAGGCACCTCGAGATTGTTTTTTGCTGTGGAGGGACGAAATGGCGGATCTCGCCTGGTTACGTCCGTTGCGTCAGCCCAGGCAATCAAAAGCTGGACGATAGATTTTGTAGCTCGCGAAACGATTAAAATGCCTGAATGGCTGCTCCCATATATATATATATTACATCAATCAGAGACCCTGACTAGCCTACGTACAATGTACATATATCTACATGTATACAATACTCAGCCTGGTTATGGAGCACGCAGGCAATGCTGTTTTTCAGCTTCTAGGCTCAACCCGCTTCTGAAGTCATCTTACCATCTTTTTTCACTTCCAACGTGGAGCATGCCCAGGGAGTCTTCCAAGATAACAAGCGGGCTGGAGCTTCTCTCATCACCGAACACATCAACCCCTCTAATCTCTCTTATGAAAGTCGCACCCCACTTATCGTCCTTGCTAGTACGGCCACATGAACCATCAGCAGCACCCATTTCACTAAACCATTCGTCAAGCACAGTCGTTCCCTCCGATCCTCCAGCTGACACATCCCTTTTAGACCGAGAAGGAATCTCCGAGAGCTCCGGAACCCGTCGATCCAGGAGAATCTCCGGATCATTGCTGCGAAAATCGTCTGCTTGCTTTTCCTGCCGCCGCGGAATCTCGTCACTCATCACCACCTGAATCACCCCTGTCTCATCCTCCGCAATCACCAACCCCTCCCTGCCAGCTGAAGGAGCAACTCCTCCACCGTGATTGGCCAAATCTGAGGAGATTCGATCACACGAGCCCTTGGCTGAAACGCATCCGCCTGCTGCAGAGCACTTAAACGACACAGTCAAAGCTGGCTCTTTCAAAGGAGGGAGCATGCAGGGTGAGCAGCAGCACCGTTGAACTTGAGCCACCTCATTTGTCGTCAGGTCGGACGATCCCATTGCGCTTGGCGGTGGGAAGAGCGGAGCCAAGGCCTCCAACTCCCGCATATTCTGCCATGTTACTGACCCCGATTTGGGAAGAGCAGCAGGAGCTCCGTTTGGACATGCTGTCCCAATCGGAGCACCTTGTAACGGGCTCAGATCACACGTGTCAAAGATGTTGCTCGCGCTAGCCCAATCCGCAGCTGTCAGCAGCACCCCATGATCCAAAGGCTCTGACGGAGTCTTCGAATTTGTATCAAGATCTTCGCTTGGCAGCAGAATCCCATGATTCAAACCCAGGCTGACTTCAGAAACTTGGAATCCTTGACACCCTTTCAAGTTGACATCTGCTCGTGACATGTCATCAGCAGCAGCCTCGTTCACCAGCATTGACCACTTTCGTTTTCCGTTAGCCAAGCCCGTATGCAGCTCCCCAGTTTCCTGCTCAGCCTCCTCCGCCGCTGCTCCTGGTGATGGCGGGATCACACTGCTGGATGATACCGCCCAGAGCCAAACGGGAGTCCGCGGGGAAACCGGCGTGGAAGGCGCTGGGGACGACTGCGGAGACAGCGGGGCGGACAGTGGCGGGGACAGCGGTGGTGGCGAGCTGGGCGTGGTGGGTGTGAGCGGGCACGAGATGTCACACCTCTCGCCATCTTCCTTCGCCAAGCCGCTGCGAATCACAGATAGGTCGAGTGTGGTCGCATGGTGCTGCCGCTTCTCAGAGCATGGAGAATGCTGCAGCTGTGCACGCGGGAGCGGGAACATGTGACCTGTGATTGCAAGCTGCTCCCGCATACTACCAGTAGCAGTGAGATTGGCGCGCTCTGTAGGGAATGTGGGATTCGTTAACAGAGACTCGTTCTCGGAGGGGGTGCGAGAGGCAGGCTGCGCGTGGTTGTGCTTGCCCGAGTAGGTGACACGTGGAGCAATGTCAGAGGCGCCAGGCTGGCCGAAATGCGTGTGCACGTCGACCACTCGGCGCGCAGGGCAGCGGCGTCCGCCGTTGTCGGAGTGGCTGCAGCGGAAATAATGCCTGTTAGGAGCAATGACAAGAGGGAATAGTAAGACGGGGAGAACATGTTAGGCCGTTGTCACCGTCATAATCGACACTTGTACAGCACACCAACCAGTGCGTCACCAGAGGTGGACGGATCTAAGAACTAGCGGAGTAGCACACCATTCCACAACATTGTTTTGGCGTGAAAAAAAAAAGAGGAGAAAAAACGAACCTATAAAAAAACAAGATGAAGAAGACGAAGAAGAAATGATAAGGACAAAAACGGTTGAAGAGGGCATGTATTAGGACTGACCGTGAGAAGCGGCCGCCTGAGATGTCCTTCTGGCCGTACTTGAGCCACTCGTGCCCGTCGTGGGGAATGCAGTGCTTGAACTCGCGCAGCCTCGCGCGCTTGCTCGGCGGACTCGACGGCTTCCAGCTGCGGTACGCGGAAAGAAAGGGGGAATGGGGAAGAGGGGGGAAAGGCAGAACGACCGGAGATGAGAATGATAGAACAAAATCGCTTGAGATTTGTCATAACAATCAATGGCGGGATTCTGAGCAATGTGGGACTGCGGCGGCTCTAGTAAGCTCGATTCAACTCAAGCGATGCCGGTACCACTACTAAGACTCACTTGATGTCGAAATCTTGCAGCAGCAGCGGCACCAGGATCTGGCTTGCTGGAAGCATCATTGTGACACTGAATGCAGTCTCCGTCTGTCGAGATGTGAAACTGGTGTAGTGCTAGTCAAGGAGTTCAACGCACGCTGATAGAAGGCAGATAGAATGCTGGTATAGTGCTGGTAGTATACCGCAATGGATGCTGATAAGTTGAAGTTGTTGCGTCAATGTTCAGGGTCGCGATGGGATCTGCAGCTAATATACAAGTTCGGCCATGCTAACCCACTCCTTTGGTAATGTGGCCGACGAGGGGAGGACAGAAATGACAGAAACGTTTCCGCAAGTATCGCGCCCCGCCAGCTGCCATACTTAGCAGCTGACAATTAGCTGCAGCGTCCTTGAATAGTAGCTCTTGCAAGCAGTGGCATGCACAACTCGGCTCTCGAGGAATCTACACCGTTATGGCGTGTGCAAAGTGCTGCAAAAACTCGACGTCGAGGAACGTCGGTGAATTTCCACCCTCGGATCAAAGGTTCCAACCGTCAGGATTCACCGACGTCCCTCGACGTCGAGTTTTTGCAGCACTTTGTACACGCCTTAGCGCTCGATCGAAACCAGTAACATCGGAGATGATGTCCAAACGGCAAATATTTGATTGCCTGTTGCATGATAAGATTTATGGCTGCAAGCTAGCAGGCCTCTGTCAGCTCCACAACCTGTTGCTCGGGAGAATGCTGTAGGACCATACCATTAAATACTGTACTTCCTAGGGTTTCTAACGATCCCCTCTGGATCTGCGCGTGATTGAGTAACGCACTATTGCGGGAAGGACAAGGACTGAGGATAATCATAACAGTTGGTTGACGAGATTGCGGTACGACGAAAATATGTTGCGCTGCAGAACGGTACTTCAAAAAAGTAGAGCTGTTGAGTAGGGTTCCCGTTGACAGCATCCTCAATGAACTTCGGACTCCAAAAGTGGTTCGGTATGGTGGTGCGAGGTCCATGACGGTGTTGTTAGGAAATGTATACTGTACTAATAACTAGGAGAACATTGTGACTGTTGGCGCAATTCGAACGGCTATTGTGTTCCGAGGAGGGCCCATTTTTCCAGGGTGTTTTCCGACGGAGTGGTGGGGAACGCCCAAAAGCTTTACATCATCAGTCACTATCGAAACGTTATTGTATGTACCGTTGAAATAATAATTCTCACCGCGCTCGGCCTCTCTCTGAGCTTGTAGCGACAGTTATGACCCTCACTGTTTGAGAGCTTGAATTGAACTTGGTCCTAGAATCCTCAACACCCTCAGGCTGTCAGGAACTGGCAGGCAACACCGCAGAAAAAGGACGAGCGGGGCTACCAAGCCAAGTACACGTGAGAGTGACAGGTTGGCGGGGAGCAGACCTGACCTCTAGGGTGCCCCTCGTATCAATAACGCGTGCAGTTGTCACATATTCCGTGCTGAAGTTATAATATACAGGTCGTTTCAACCTAAGTAATTCACACCCATTCATAAATTGACCTCGCTTGGGAATTCTTTTAGTGCTTTCTTACTACCGTAAGTGCAACTACACATTCTTACCATTAAAAAATAGGGGCAACAGCTCGGGTTTCTCGGAATACTTGGTGGGGTCCTTGACAGCCGCGGTAGGGGTAGCTTTGCAGAAGGCACAGGCTCGGGTGATTCTTTTGCGGGCGGCATACACGTTGGGTCAGTCCGAGGCGGAGTGGGTGGAGCGAGGGGGTGGGGAGCAGGAGTTTGGAGAGGGAGCACCATGGGTGGACGTGCCCTACTTGGTCGACATGCGGCTGTAGATGTCTTAGGAAGCAATACTTTGTTTCGGGTTTTGGCGATGGTCTTTTGATGTTTGAGGTAGTAAGACACTTCTAGGAAGGGTTTATGCATGTCTGTATGCTTGTTGAAATGTAACGAAGCTGATTAGTGGCGAAAAAAAAAAAAAAAAAAATAGGGGCCACAAACTTTGGCGCAAGCTTTCTACGACCTGCACAGTGCAAATCGAATGAAATTAGCATAATGACTATACTGAAAGGCCAAGAGAACCTGATGCATACTCTAACACTACCTGACTGTTTCTGTTCCTCCATTTCGCCAAGGCATCCGCAGCCAATCTCTCCGTGGGATCTCGGGAAAAATGTGGAGTGAGCGACATTTCTGCAGCGTCACTTGCTTCCGCTATCCACACCCCTTCCTCTCCGTGAAAAGAACCGAGTCTTCGTATAAGATTCCGCCAGGATACCTTCAGATGAAAAATGACAGGGGTGAGGTTGGGGAAGGGGGGAGGGGGGAGTGGTGGTTTTGGGGTTAGGACGGAAAGGGGCAGGAAGGGCGGGAAAAGGGGAGGGGAGGGTTGAAGGGGTGGGGGGGGGAGGGGGGGGAGGGGGGCAACAGATAATAAGTGGTCGAGGGGGAGGGAAGGGCGAGAGGCAATGTGGACAAATCAGGAAAATGGGCTAAGTGTCAGGGTGGGTGAGCAGGCAAGATAGAGCAAAAGGGACGGGTAAAGCAAGGGGAAATTCAGGAGCATCTGACCAGCTTTACAAGCATCTAGATAGGAACATAATAAAAAAATGACAAACACATAACCAGACATTATCCATCCAATTGCAATCACACTCACTATGGAACCCGTGAGGGACGGATCGAGTGGCACAGACGCCCTCTCCCCAGCCAACACCTGCACAGCTACCACTGCTGCCCCCCCATCCCCCCTGCCAGCCACTGCTCCACCGCCATTCTGTCCGCGCATCCCCCCCGTCGCCACACTCAGTGGTACCTCCGCTCCCCCTCCTGCCCGTGCCTGCGCTCCTGCTGCCACTGCTGCTGGCGCTCTCACTGCAGTCGGACCTATCAGTGAAGATTCACCCCCTCTTCGTGGCCGCCATCCATCCGCCGGCCTCCTGTTGGATCCCCCCCATCCTTCTCCTCCCCCATTCAACATGGCTGCTCCGTGCTCTCCCCCTTCTGACATCCCAGCACCCCCACCATGACCACTAACAGAATGCAATCGCCTGCCTCTGCCACCGCCATTCCCACAGCCACTTCTGCCGCCGCTGCCTCTGCCCGTTCTTCCCCAAAGGCTCATCCCACCCCTCACTCCGACCCTCCCACGTGCGCCAATTCTCCCTCCCCCGACCAGTCCAGGCCTCCTCCCAGCCTGGTGCATAGGCTGGCGTATAGCTAAGGAGGAGGGTGACCCTGATGGTGCTTCTGCTCCTGGGGTTGGTGGCGGTGGTGGTGATGGTGGTGGTGGCAGTGCATATGGTGTTTTTGCTCCTGTCAAGCACGCTACACCCACTGCTGACGACAACTCTCTTTCAGCTGTTCCTGCACCCCTTCTCTCTACACCTCTTCCCCCCAAACCTCTCCCTGAGACACCTCTTCCCTCCATATCTCCCCCATTCTCACAATGCTCTCTCTCCCCCGAGCCATCAAGCAGCAGAAGCCACTGCCCCGTCTGCCACGCCCCCACGGCACGCGGCTGCCCCACGGCCAGCACCAGTGCCACCACGTCCACCTCCCTGCCCGGGGGAGTGGCAGGCAACGAGGCGAGGGGGGTCCACTGACGAGGGGGGAAAGAGAAGCTGTGGGATTGTGGGGGAGATGCAGGGAGAAAAAGGAGAGGAAGAGCGGGATGGTATGAGAAGCAGAAGAAGGAGCAGAAGCAGAAGCAACAGCAGCAGCCACTTCCTTCACTTGGTAGACGGTAGAGAGAAGACAGGAAATACCTGACTCGGGAGTCAGAAAAAAACTGACCTGAGGCTTCTCTGAACAGTCGATGGTTCAAGTCGGCGCCACCTGGTTGACCGGCTGGCGTTGAGGGAGAGCAGCGGACCAATTGCATCACGCCGCGTGGCGGACGGCTGAAGGCCCGCCACCAGATACACGCCTCCTTCCACCAGCTCTTGCAGCTGAGAGAGGAGGAGAGTGGGGGAAGTGGAGGTGGGAAAGGGAGGGCGCGAAGGCAGGAAAGAAGCAAGGAGAGAAGAGGGAACAAGGAGACGTGTCAGGATACGTGACAGACGGCTGAAGGCCCGCCACCAGGTACACCCCGCCCACCACCAGGTACACCCCGCCCTCCACCAGGTACACCCCGCCCTCCACCAGGTACACCCCGCCCTCCACCAGGTACACCCCGCCCTCCACCAGGTACACCCCGCCCTCCACCAGGTACACCCCGCCCACCACCAGGTACACCCCGCCCTCCACCAGGTACACCCCGCCCTCCACCAGCTCCTGCAGCAGCTGAGGGGAGGGGGAGGGGAGTGCGGGGAACGGAGGGAGGGGAGGGAGGGGAATGAAGGGAGGAAGGAAGCACTGCCAAGCAAACTCATGTCAATGCATGCCATGCTATACAAAGCCATGCCACGCAATAACAAACCATGCCATGCCATCATTTCCCTGCCATAACATGCTCTGCCATGCCATGCCATGCCTCATGCCATTCCATGCCATGCCATGCAGAGCCCCATGCCAAGCCAAACCATGCCATGCCATCCCTTATGCCATTCCCCCATGCCATGTCATGCCCTCACCTGCTCGTCACTGGGCCGCCAAATGCTGATCATCCCTTCCCCTTGCCGCACCCTCTTGCTCCACTCCCCCTCCTCGTCATCTCCTGTCCCCTCCTCCCTCTCCTCCCTGGATCGCTTCCCAGTGAGTCCCACCACCCGCACTTTCACCACAGGGCACACGTCCCGCTCCTTCAACCCTTCATCTGCCAATGCGTCATCTACCGCCTCCTGCACTGCCGCCCTCCGCTTCTCCTGACAGGTGGCAAGGATGAGAGGAGGAGGGGCAGAGAGCACGGAGATGGGGACAAAAGAGGGACACACGTCACTTCAGCTGTCAATGCGTCATCCACTGCCTCCTGCACTGCTGCCCTCCGCCTCTCCTGTGACAGCATCAGTGCTTGTGGGGACGAGGGAGCATGGGGGAAGCACAGAGCAAGAACATGAGGACACGGGCGAAACACACTCCAGTAGCAGACGACCCACCTCCCTCCCGCATCCCAAATTTCAACACATAACCACCCCTCCCTCTCCACTCACCACTCTCTGCAGCTGAGCTCTTTCCATGGCACCACGTTGCTCAGCAGTCAGCCCACCCAAGAACGACTCCGGATCACCACTAGCATCAAACTCCAACAACAAACGACCCCCCTCCCTCTCCGCCCTTGCCAGCCCTCCCCTTCCCCGCCCCAGAGAAAATCCTGCAGAGGCCCGCCCCCGCCCCATCCCCATCCTCCCCACCCCTGCTCTCCCCCCACTCTCTCCCCTTCCACCAACTCCTCCTCCTATTCCTCGTCCTCCTGCTCTGCCCCCCCTGCCTGCTGCTTCTGCTGCTTCTTCAGCCATTAGTTGCTTCTCGGCTTCCAGACTCGCCTTCTCGGCCACCTGCTCCCTCCTGGTAAGCGGAACGGGTACAGGCAGAGGAGAAGAGGCAAGCGGTGGGTGGGGGATGAAGCGGGGGGGGGGGGGGAGGGGAAAGAGGAGAACGGCTGAGGGACAGAGGAGGAGGAGGAGGACGACGACAACGACAACGACGAGGAGGAGGGCGAGGAGGAAAATCAAAACAGAGATCTTAGCATTTAGTCTCTCACCTCTTCTCAAAGTCACGAGCTGCCACTGCTTCAGCCCTAGCTGAGCGCATCGTACCACCGGGCACAACAGCAGCAGCAGCAGCAGCATCCGCATCAGCTTTCCTTGCGGTGTTCTTCTCCCAGTACATTGCAGGATAGACCCGTGCAATGGCCACACACGTGAGGGGGATAGCTCCCCCGTCCTCCCGCACCCTGCGCAGTGCCATTGGGACAGGCGGCTTCTGTCGGCCTGTAGCGGGGGAGGGCAGAGGGAGAAGAGCAGAGGGATGAGGGGAAGCACATGGGGAGATGAGGAGGGGGAGGGAGGAGCGAAGAGGAATAGATAGAGAGCAGCAGGGAGACAGAAAGGGTGGAAAATCTCTGGCCAGCATAGATCGGGAAAAGAAAGAAACATGTTGGAGAGGAAACAGGAGGTCAAGCCAAAGGGCAGGGGCAGGGCTTGACTCGATGAGAAAGTGGATTTGGCAGGACTTAATCCTTCGACTAATGGCTATTTGATGGCCTTCGTGGGGGCGTGGGGCACATAAACCCACCTTGGTGGACCAGTGAGCTGGATAGGTGATTTAGAAATTTCTCAAAAAGGGTGTTCTTGAAAATTCTAGAACCATGGGTGTTTTGGGGACTTCTTAGAAACACCCTGTTTATGAGATTTCTCAAAAACACTCTGTGGGGGTGGGCGACGTACAGAAGCCCAGCTTGGTGGACCAGTGAGCTGGGAAGGTGCCGTTGAAGTGAAGGGCGAGCGTTGCTGCTGTGCACGCCTGCGGTGACGCGACGGGAGTGAGAAGGAGAGAGAGGGTCGAGAGAAAAGTGGGGGGAGGATGTGTTGGGGTTGGGGTTAATAAAGACGACGGTCCCAAACGGTGAGGGGAGGATGTGAGTTTTGAGGCGCCTCAAAAGTTTTGAGGCGCCTCAAAAGTGGATGTTTTGGGGTTGGGGTTGGGGTTAATAAAGACGACGGTCCCAAACGGTGAGGGGAGGCTGTGAATAAGAACAGTTTTGAGGCGCCTCAAAACTAAAGTGGGGGGAGGATGTCTTGGGGTTGGGGTTGGGGTTAATAAAGACGGTGAGGGGTCCCAAACGGTGAGGGGAGGCTGTGAATAAGAACCAAGCAGCAGCTGGCGAGTGTGCGTGCCGTGGTATGCACAAGTATCATGCCGAAACAAACGCAGCACACGGCTCCATACAATACGGGGAAGACAAATGCAGGCAAAGAAAGCGGAGTAGTGAGGAGAGGATTGAAAAATGGAGAGTGAAGGAATGGGGAATACCTCGAGGGGAGGGAGGCCTTCCATGCAGCCATTCAGCACCGCGCCACACACCTGGCATGGGTGGGTTGAGTTGAGGTTGAGGTGATGTAGGAAGAGAGCCGGGAGAAGGCAGATTAAGGTTTGGATGCGGGTCAACATAAGGATCAGAACGGGGTTTGAAAGCAGGTAAAATTTTCAGGTTCACAGTCAAATTCAGGCTGGTTCAGTACGGTTCAGGCTGGGGTTCATATTGGGATTCATATTGAGGTTTGGTTTCATATTCAGGCTGGTTCAGTACGGTTCAGAAGCAGCTTGCTCTCAGTGCAATATTCATCACACTTTGAGTCGAATGAGTGCACCCACCTGTATCTTCTGGCCAACAAAGAGCCGACCGCGATTCAGAAGGTCTGTGAGGGGAGCATCGAGGCGAGCAGGCAGCCAATACCTGGAAGGGAGGGGGGTTGAAAAGGGACGGGAAGCGTGGGAGGGTGCGTGTGAGAGGAGGGAAGTGGGGAGGGGAGGGGTATAGCTTTTGGGGTGTAGCTGTGAGGGGAGAATGGAGGCGAGCAGGCAGCCAGTACCTGGATGAAGAGGGACGCATGTGGGGAAAGTGGGGTTATGAGTCGACTAAAAAAATGAGGCGAGCAGGCAGCCAGTACCTGGACAAAGAGGGACGCATGGGGAGAGTGGGGCGGGTGCGTGAGAGGGAGGTCGTTAGTTCTGTAAGGTGTTGAGGGTAAGGTAAGATTTGATGCGCACGGGTGCCAATACAATACGGACTTCTAAGGTTGCTGGCTTTGAGGTGCCACAAAAAGGGTGTCGGAGAGGAGGGGGGAGGGGGGGGCGTTGGGTGGGGTTGCTAAGGCTGCTTGCATGGGGCACATGGCTGTTGCAAGAGATGCACAAAGAGCAACGATGTGACACCATCTGCCGCAGTAGAACGGCATGCAGACATGATGTGTGTGTTTGCACTATAATGGCATGCGAATGTCCCATTAACCCATAAACTTCTCTCCTCCTCACCATCCATCAGTCACTTCAATCATCGCCGTCTGCAGCCCCAAACCCACCGCCCCTCTCTGCCGCCCCGCCTCCTGCCTCTTCTCCCCCTCTTCCCCATCCTCCTCCTCCTCTCTCGCTCCCTCCTCCTCCTCCCCAACCCCTCTTCCACGTGCTCCTCCCTGGGAGTGCACAGCAGAGATACAGAGTACCATGGGGCTGCCAGCAGCAGCGTCCCGCTCGCACACCTTCTTCAGAGCCGACCGCTTGCCTTCATTCACCTCCCTCTCGTACCTGCATGGGCATGGAGGCAGGACACATGATGGAAGATGGCAGAAAATAGCAAGGACTCAAAATGCAAAGGTTACGGCAGAACCAGCCGGGTCATTCAACAGCGGCTCAGCCATGTGGTCTTTGTACTGACCACGGAGCAGTGAGCAGAGTTAAACTGAGACGACTTTCGAGGCACCTCAAAAGTCGAAACTCAGAAGTCGAGACTCAAAGGTCGAATGAGCTGCTCTTTATCCTTTTCTTAACACCCACCTGTACTTGAGCTGCTCCAGCACTCTCTCCACAGTCAGCATCCTTCCTGCAAGGCGACGGGGGAAGCTGCGCTCCTGACAAGCGAGTTTCCACACCACCCAGCGATAGTGGTTTGACACCCACCTGTGATGGGGGTGTTGGGGATGGTGGGATGCGGGAAATGCGTGGGAGGAGGGGGGGGGGGGGGGTTTCACGAGCTGCCTGTGCTCCTGACAGGCCAGCTTCCACACCAGCCAGCGGTAGTCGTTCGACACCCACCTGTGAAGGGCGGTTGAGGGAGAAGGGAGGGGTTAAAAGGGAGAGGGGCAGGAAGGAGGTTTTATGTTGGACACGCAAGCTGCGCTCCTGACAGGCCAGCTTCAACACCACCCAGCGGTAGTGGTTCGTCACCCACCTGTGTTGGAGGGGTGGTTGGAAGAGGAAGAAGAGAAGAGGGGAAACGGAGATGATGGGTTGAACTGAAACAATGTCGGGTGCCGTGCCAGTGCCACAAGTGTGACTTTCGTTACAGGCGCCTCAAATCCTGGCTGAAAAAAAATGGTGTGCCAGCCAGTGTAACAAAGCAACGACTTCTTGCTCGTTCGGCTCTCTCATTGAGGTCGGCGCGCCTAGATGAAAGAGCCGAACACGCAAACGAGAGAGGCCGAATCAAATCAAAAGGGTCAGGAACCAAAAGAGTGAAGAGGGAGGTTGGTGTCTTACTCTTGTGTGGCAAACTTGCGCTGGGCGCCTGCTGCAATCAGCATGTCCCTAAACTCCTTAGCCCCAACATTCGCCCTCTCCCCACCATCTCGAGCACCAAGAACTGTCAGAGTAGCCTGGCCTTCCCCTTTTCGTGCAGATGCCCATCTTCCTCCTTCCTTTGCTGCAGATTCCTCCGCTGCTGCCTCTGCTGGTGATGCTGATGCTGCTGCTATAAGATCGTTTCGGATGACGCACTCATCCTCCGTGGTCGTGGCTGCTGCATGCTCTTGTCTGTCGCCAGTGCACAACCCTATTGCAGAGATTTCAGGGAGTGCAGGGCTTGCAGGGATTGCAGGGAGTGCAGGGAGTGCAGGGCTTGCAGGGCTTGCTGGGAGTGCAGGGAGTGCAGGGCTTGCAGGGCTTGCAGGGAGTGCAGGGAGTGCAGCACTGGTAGCACCTATTGCAGGGCAGCCACTGCTTTCTACTAACGAGAGTGCTACTGATGCCACAGCTGCTGCACCTGCTGCATCTGCTATACCATCCACAGCTCCTACACCACCGCCATTTGCTAACTCTTCTACCCCTCCGGCATGGTCTATACCTCTTACGACTGCAACATTGGCCCCACCTGCTAAATCTACTGCACCTGCTGCAGCGTCTGCTGCACTGGCATCGTCTGCTGCACTGGCATCGTCTGCTGCACTGGCATCGTCTGCTGCACTGGCATCGCCTGCTGCACTGGCATCGTCTGCTGCACTGGCATCGCCTGCTGCACTGGCATCGTCTGCTGCACTGGCATCGCCTGCTGCACTGGCATCGCCTGCTGCATATGCTGCGCCTCCTTCATCACCTGCTGCAGCTGCCATATTAGCCCCCCTATCTGCTGGATCTACTAAACCTACTGCATCTGAAACGTTTGTTGCACCGGCCACCTGTACAGTGTCAGCTGCACCATTCGCTTCTGCGCCCGCTCGCCTATCTCTTCCAGCTGCTGGCGGCGATGGTTGAGGTGAAGAAGGTAGTAATGGTGGTGGCTGGGGTAACGGTGGTGATGGTGGTGAGAGTGATGGCTGTGTGGCTGGTGGCAGTGCTGCTGCTGCTGCTGCTGCTGCTGGTTCTGCTGTTGGTGATTCTGTTACTGTTGCTGGTAGTGCTATCAGGGTGGGCAGTGATAGGGTAGTTGGCAATAGTGGCTGTGCTTGCTGTTGCGCGGACTGAACAGCAGACGGGATTGTGAAGACAAATGTGAGGGCGGACTGTGCTGTCATTTTGCGAACTGCTTCTGACACCTTTCCCTCCTGTCAACCACAGGACAACAAGTGAAAGAGAAGGATGAGAAAAGAAGTACAGCAAAAAGTGCAAGTGCCAAAACAGAAATACAGTACACGCCCAGCAGGCTGCGCTGCAGGGCTGACAATCAACACTATCCACCAGCAATACCTGAGAGGGGTACTGAACTCTGTAAACACTCAGAAACAAACACATTCCGCGTGTTCGCAAACACAGCAAGCTCTTCACGAGTTCAACAACACAGCACACATCACGTCACACCATTGCAGAAACGTCACAAGCTCTCACCACTCGCTCAAGCCCAGGCGGATACCCAAAGAACTCAGCCATGCAAACAGGGCTGCCTTCTTCCCGGCTAATGAGTCAGCTCAATACTCACCACTCGTTCGAGCCCAGGCGGATACCCAAAGAACTCAGCTATGCAAACACGGCTGCCTTCTTCTCGGCTAATGAGTCAGCTCAATACTCACCACTCGTTCGAGCCCAGGCGGATACCCAAAGAACTCAGCTATGCAAACAGGGCTGCCTTCTTCTCAGCTAATGAGTCAGCTCAATACTCACCACTCGCTCAAGCCCAGGCGGATACCCAAAGAACTCAGCCATGCAAACAGGGCTGCCTTCTTCCCGGCTAATGAGTCAGCTCAATACTCACCACTCGTTCGAGCCCAGGCGGATACCCAAAGAACTCAGCCATGCAAACAGGGCTGCCTTCTTCCCGGCTAATGAGTCAGCTCAATACTCACCACTCGTTCGAGCCCAGGCGGATACCCAAAGAGCTCAGCTATGCAAACAGGGCTGCCTTCTTCTCAGCTAATGAGTCAGCTCAATACTCACCACTCGCTCAAGCCCAGGCGGATACCCAAAGAACTCAGCCATGCAAACAGGGCTGCCTTCTTCTCAGCTAATGAGTCAGCTCAATACTCACCACTCGCTCAAGCCCAGGCGGATACCCAAAGAACTCAGCCATACACGGTCGCCTCCTCGGCTTCCCCTCCTCATCCCTGTATAGATCATGCAGTCGCCTCACTCCCCCTTCCCCCTGTCTAACCATCACTGCTGCACTCGCGCCCTCTCCCGCGCCTGCTCCTGAACCTGCTGCACCTGCTCCGTCAGTCCTCAACCCACTCCTTGGCATTGACACTGCAGCGTTATCAGCAGCCATATGTCCTGCTCCATCTGCTGGATTCTGGTTGGCGCCAAGAGCTGGTGCATCAGTGGCATCAGTGAGTGAGCGCATGGGGATGGGAGGCAGGCCGGCGGAGCGGGAGCGAGCAGGGCGGTGCTTGGAGAATAGGGAGGGAATGGTGGAGGTGGGCGGTATGAACTGCCGCCGTGGGGAGGGCGAGGTGGACGGAGAACGGTTTAGGGGAGTTAAGGGGCGGCGAAGAGTGGTGCCAGAGCGGTGAAGAGGGGTGGGAGAGGTGTGGAGGGGAGCGTTGTGGAGCCGATTGGGAGAGGTGTGGAGGGGAGTATGAGAGCGGTGGAGAGGAGAGTTGGAGGGATGGGAAGGGGTATGGGAGCGGTGGATCGGAGATGAGGGGTGGAGAGGAGGGCAGGAGTGGAGGGGAGAGGCGGGGTGGAGAGGAGTTGAGGAACGGAGGAGAGGAGGCTGGGCGAGTGAGGGAGTATGTGGGGAAGGTGCAGGTGACCGAAAGAGTGCATGTGTGGGGTTTTGAGGGGTGGGATGCTGCTTTGAAGTGTTGAAGGAAGTGTGAGCATGCTGCACGGGTTGCATTAGCTGCTTAGGCTGCAACGGCTGTGTGGGATGCATGCGCTGGGTGGGTGGCGTGGGTTGTGTGGGTTGTGTGGGTTGTGTGGGTTGTGTGGGTTGTCGGTGCAATGGTGAACCGGACAAAGAAGCTACGGAGAGCGGTGGAAGAGAGCCTGGCGTTTGCGATGCATACTGTGACTGTATCGAAAGGGTTCCTGGTGTGCTGAATTTGTCGGAGTAGAGGAGAGGAGGAGGGGGTGATGCGTATGCAGAGGAAGGGGGCGCGGAGAAGGGGAGAGAGGAGGTGGCGTTGAGTGAGGGAGTGTGCGGGTTGAATGGTGTAGCAGGATGCCCTCCTGAGAGCGGCATGAGTGAGTGCCTAGTGGTGCTGTCCTCCTGTTGCTTGTAAGGGTCATAGGGCTGGGGCTGGGGCTGGGGCTGGAGATAAGACTGTGGCTGCGGCTGATAGACGTTGACTCTGACTACTGTCTGGCTTCCAACATCGGCCCCATTGCGACCTCTCTGCGATGTCATACCTCCACCGCCCTCCCCGCTCCCACCACCATTTCTCACTCTCCCACCACCATCCCTCCCACTCCCACTACCATCGCTCCTACTCCCCTCCCCATTCCTCCCATTTCCGCCTCCACTCCCCCCAGTCCCCAGGTCAAACAGGCTCGCAACCATTTCCTCTGCCCTGGCAAGTGCTGCCCGAGCCTCCACCGCAGGCTCGGCTGCACCTTGTGATGAGGTTTGGGTGAGGGCGAGGGGCCAGGAAGGAGGGGAAGGGGGACGAGGAGCAGGTCCTTCAGTTGCATCGGGAGCAGGAAGAGCGAGAGGAGGTTGCGGGGCAGCAGGAGCAGGACCAGGCAGGGCGAGGGGAGCATGTGGAGGTGGTTGGATTGCACAAGGTTGGGGACAGGGCAATGCGGTGCTTCCAGAAGCTGTGAACCTGGGTGAATCGAACCGTGGTCTCTCATGCTGCTGCACGCCCAACAGAGCACACGCCTTGTCCACAGCAGCTGAGGACAACCGCACAGGCTTCTCTGAGGCGGTTTGAAACAGACCCGCTGTTTGGACAGTCGCTCCTCCCAGACTGGCACTACCTTCAACCTGCGGCCTCTCACGCTGCTGCACTCCGAAAAGAGCACACGCCTTGTCCACAGCAGCTGAAGATATGTGCACCGGCTTCTTTGAAGCGGTTTGAAACAGACCCGCTGTTTGGACAGTCGCTCCTCCCAGACTAGCACTGCCTTCAAACCGCGGCCGCTGATGCTGCTGCACGCCCAGCAGAGCACACGCCTTGTCCACAGCAGCTGAGGATATGTGCACCGGCTTCTTTGAAGCGGTTTGGAACAGACCTGCTGTTCTTACAGTCGCTCCTCCCAGACTAGCACTGCCTTCAAACCGCGGCCTCTGATGCTGCTGCACGCCCAGCAGAGCACACGCCTTGTCCACAGCAGCTGAAGATAAAGAAACCGGCTTCTCTGAAGCGGTTTGAAACAAAGTAGTCCGTACAGTTGCTCCCCCCCGACTGCCTCCACTATCTGGCTGCGCCGCTCTCGTCTGCTCTGCGCCTGCGCCCTCCAGCAGAAGCACTGCTGTTTCTTCACTGATCCTGGGTTCTTCTACCCGTGGAGGATCCTTATACTGCTGCACGCCCAGTAGTGCGCACGCCTTGTCCACAGCAGCTGAAGACACAGAAACCGGCTTGCCTCGGCCAGTTTGAAACAAACCTGCCTTTACAGTCGCTCCCCCTCGACTAGCCCCTCCCAATAGAGCTCTGCCACCTGGCTGCGCCACTACCGCCAGCTCTGCTCCTGAGTTCCGCACTGAAAGCTCCTTTGTTGCTGGCGCATCAGAGCTCTGCCTCTCATGCCCTTGAGCGACCAGCAGTGCTGGCGGCTCCTGCTGTACGCCCAGCAGAGCACACGCCTTGTCCACGGCAGCTGAAGACACAGAAACCGGCTTGCCCCGGGCCGTTTGGAACAAACCCGCCCCTACAGTCGCTCCCCCCTGTATAGCTCCCCTCAAACCAGCTTCACCGTCTGGTTGCGCCATTACTGCCAGCTCTGCTCCTGATTTCCGCACTGCAAGCTCCATTGATGCAGGCACATTACAGCTCTGCGGCTCCTGCCCTTGAGCGTCCGGGAGTGCTGCAGGCTTGTGTGTAGGCGGTGTGATATGAGGTGCGGCATACTGTGGTCCCTTGTACTGCTGCACTCCCAGCAGAGCACACGCCTTGTCCACAGCAGCTGAAGTCACAGAAACTGGCTTGCCCCGGGCGGTTTGGAACAGACCCGCCCCCACAGTCGCTTCCCCCCGATTAGCTCCCCCCAAACCAGCTCCGCCATCTGGTTGCGCCACTACTGTCAGCTCTGCTGCTGAGTTCCGCACTGAAAGCTCCATTGCTGCGGGCGCATGAGAGCTCTGCCTCTCATGCCCTTGAGCGACCGGGAGTGCTGAGGACCCGTGTGTAAGCGGCATGAGTCTAGGCGCGTTAAATTGAGACCCACCGTGACCCTGAGCGTTCAGCAGAGCTGCAGGCTTCTGTGTCGGTGGTGTGATGCGAGGTGCGTCAAACCGTGGTCTCTCACACTGCTGCACGCCCAGCAGAGCACACGCCTTGTCCACAGCAGCTGAAGACAAACGCACCGGCTTGTTTGAAGCTGTTTGAAACAGGCCCGCCCCAACAGTCGATCCTTCTGTACTACCGGCCCCCAAATTAGCCCCATCATCAAAGTGTGGCCTCTCGTGCTGTTGCACGCCCAGCAGGGCACACGCCTTGTCCACAGCAGCTGAAGACAGAGGGACCGGCTTTCCCCGGGCTGTTTGGAACAAGCTTGCTGAACCAGCAGGAGGTCGTGGTGGTGGTTGTAGTGGTAGCATTGATAATGGAGATGGGTTTTGTGCGGTGGTTATGAGAGCTGCACCTGTATGTGGTGGTTGTGGCGGAGGTTCTGGTGGCAGTAACAAGGGAGATGGGTTCAATGCGGTGGTGAGAGCTACAGCTGTTGGCTCATCTGTCACTGGCACTATAGCCATGCATCCTCGACTCCCCTGCTTCCCTTCTGCTCCTAGCATATCCTGTTGCCCTTGAATCCCCTGCTGCCCATCCATTCCCTGCTGCTCCTGCTGTCCTTGCAGCCCTTTCACCCCCTGCTCTCCCTGCTGCTGCCATTCTTCTCCATCCTCCCCAAACAGCTTCAACACGCCTGCAACCGCAACAGCTGACTCGTTCACCTTCCTGCCAGACGCACTCCGGAGGAGAAACTTTCCTGGCACTGCATCGCCTTGTGCAGCGGACTGTATGTTGTCAATCACAGCAAGGGGCTTGCGTTTCGATCCAGGAGCCATGGCATGCAGCGGTGGTATACCACCAGGGCCATCAGCTCCAGCCTTCCGCTTCAGTCCTCGGTTTGCCACCACACCAATATGACCACCAGCGTTCTCTCCTCCCTCGAACAGCGCTTCAGATGCTCTTGAACCTGCTCGCACTTGTGGGTGCAGCTGAGGCTCTGAATGAAGGGGAGCGCCCAAGTCTCGACTTCTTTGCACTCGCAGGGACGGCTGCAGGCAGCGCTCTCTTGTTGAGTGTTTCTTGGACGCGTTGCTCATGGTCTTGTGAAGAAGCCGATTCACTTTGTGGCCCTTCTCAAACTAAATACATCCAGAATAAAACAATAAACATCATGTCAACTCAACGCCTGGATGGTCCTTACTGAAAAAAAAAAAGCACATGAGATACGCCCCAACACCTGAAAGTTGCAGAATTCTGGCAACCGTGAAAATGCTCTGCATACTGATTCAGGTTACCAGATTAGCATGGCCAAGCGAAGGGAGTGTGGCTTGGCCGACACCAGTGAGGCCTCTTAAAGCGCGTGGCTTCTTGAACTTTGGCGCCATGAAGAGGCGTGTGGTGGAAGCCCTGTGGTGTTTCTGGAATATCAAGGAAAGGAGTTCGGGATACAAAGCACAAGAGGCAAGGAGTCAAGAAAAAGGAAGGGTAGAGTTTTGAACTGGCAAGATCCGTGATGGCACACGAACGAATCACCATGGTATGGAATGGACAGGCCGAAAAACGAGGCCAAGAGTCTTGACTCACATTTTGAGGTTGAGTGGGTTGAAGGAGTTCATCCAAAATGTCTGAACTTCCTGCCCTTGCGCTGCCACCACTCTTCGCTTTGGACATAACCGAATCACCATTTTTAAATAAAATGCCTCGAGGGCAATGGGCTCCATCCTGTGTGTCTACAGCTGAAGTCCTCTGGCTGCTGTCAAGCCACAGACAGGAAGGCCGTGGATCTGCAATGCCAGCAACAGCAATTGCGCCAGAAGCTGTAGCGCAAGCAGCAGCTGTAGCGCCAGCAGCAGCTGTAGCGCCAGCAGCAGCTGTAGCGCCAGCAGCAGCTGTAGCGCCAGCAACAGCCGTGAGGCCAGGAGCTGCTGTAGTACCAGAAGCATCTGTAGCGCCAGCACCAGCTACAGCTCCAGAAGCAGTTGTGGTGGAAGAAGCAGGTGAAGCGCCAGCAGCAGCTGCGGTGTTCTCCGACGTATATGGCGGTTGTGCTTCCTCGGACAGGTGTGTTGGCTCAGAAGGTTCCATTGCTGTCTTGAAAAGTTCTGCTACTTCAGGTCTTCCTCGCTGCGAGCACGCTGGAGAGAGGTCAGGCCCACGTTCTGAACGTGCTGGCGGGGGATCTTCCTGAGGCTTCAATGCTGCCTCTGATCCTTCTGCAACTGAAGCGGTTGCAGTTAAACACACAACGCCGGATACTGCCAAGGCAGGACTAGCCATAGGGCATGGTGGTGAGGTGGCGGATGGTGGTGAGATGCGGCCTGTGCCTGCAGCATCTGAGTCCGCCTGAACCGAAAGACTTGCTCTTTTCATTTGTGGCTCATCAGCGACGGTATGACGCAAATAATTCTGCTGACTGATGACTGCTGGCGATACGCCTGCATTTTCCGCTGCTGCTTCTCTCTCCACAAGTGGTTTGTGGGGTTCATGACCTTGCCTTTGACATGCTCCCGCAACAGAATGGAGGGAAGCACGCGTTCCTGGTGATGAAAATATTATCAATGGGTGGAGATATTGAGACGTCTCAAAGCATGCACACGTTCCTGCTGAGAAAGTCAGTAATGCGTGGATCTATAGCATCGGGAGAACGGAGAGAACGGATTCATGCGAGCTGGGGAATGCGTGATATGCTCGCCTCTAGAGAACGGATTTGTCCACCGAATGAATTGACGAGGTGCTGATTATGCTGCGGAAAAATAAAATGCAAGCGAATTGAAACGTACGCTGCAGAAAATCGCGAAGCTCGCTGCTTTCCTCAGCCGCGTCGTCGAGAGTGGTTAGCGCGGAAAGAAGAGATCCTGCATAGCTTTCCGACGTTACACAACCATACTCCCGTGGACCCTGCCGACCAGCACCAACGGTCCGGCCTCCCTCGACAAGAGACAAGTCGCCACTTCTTCGATCAACTACCAGTGAAAACGAATGCACGGGCCGACCGATCTCGTCCATGGTAAGAAAGTAGCCGCCTTCACTCTTTCGGCTGAAGCGTCAGAGTTACGCGTACTTCATGTTCTGGCGGGGGTTCGTTGAGAGACATAAGTCACATTATGGTATCCTAAATGTATCTCAAAAGTCACCTTTGGGACTTCTGAAGGGACTCCTGTGGTTTGTTCCATAATCAGCGTCAGCGTCACGCCCTTGGCGACAGTATCAAGGACCTGAACAAAGGAGGACATATTCAAGGATTAAAATTGTCATTCTAACGAGCGAATAAGCAAATAATCAAATGTAAAATGGACTCGATGACTTTTGCCGCATTGCACCGTGCTCAACAACCGACTCAACAGCGCCACAACCAGAAGGACTCAAACCGTTGGATGTATCTTGAAATTATCGAGCGGCTGTGCATGCATCACTCCAGCCCCACAGACGAAATCAATATCCCAGAAAAGTTGGTAACTGGTTTCGCTGATTCTCGTCGCAAGGGCCAGGCATGGTTACCCCTCCGTAACAGCCTGAGGTTGTTTTGGGGACTGAGCACCTTCGTCATGATTGCACTACCCTGCAGAACCGAGCAGATCGTGCAGATAAAATTCTGCACCGAGACGTACCCCCTTCTCATAGCGGAGAAGCCCTTGTTCATTTTGCCCAATCAGCTTCGTCCACGCCCCCACACTCCTAGGAACCACCATCATCACTCCCAAGCTTCGGCATGTGGACCAAGTCTACATGAAAGATACAAGCAAGCATATGTGGTGTGGTGTGTGTGTGTGACTGACTGACTATGGCTTCACAAATTCTTTCTTTGTCAGAGTGATCGACTGCCTCAGTAGCCGCGTCTGCAGCAATAAGCCGTGTACCTCCTGCATTTAGCCGCCATGGCTAATTCATGTTTCGCTACGTCAAGCTGCAGACCGGCGCTGTTGGGGAGCCCGTTGAGTGAACGATTGGATGAATCGTCGAACTTGAGAACACATCATGAGAGCAGTTGTCTAATCCGTCGGCCAGCGCGGCTAGCGCATAGAGTAAGCATATCGGCTTATTCTTATCGCTCCAATTAGGGAAGAGACCTTGTCCGTAATGATATTTTCCGAGCATGTTTCCTTTCATTAACAAAGTCTGCTCCTCAGTCGATTGCCTAAAGGTTCCCTAATTCGCCAATAAGCGTTTCCCTTCTGCCAATGACTTTGCTGTGGCCCTGTCAGCGACCGATTGTTCGCGCCGTCAGCGCAGCGGATAATGGCGCTGCCGCAGCTGAGGAAATGCGCCTTGCGAGGGGATCAGCGCGACTGGAAGGAGCACCTCGCGGGGCGAAGCAGGTGTTGCTGGTGGATCCGGTCGAGGCGAAGCGGCTAGCGCAAGAGGACCTCAAGAAACGTGCCAAGGTCGCATCACAACAGGCAAGCGCTTGTGTAAACAAAAGCCGTTGTACATATATGTGGTGCGGAGCTTCTAGGGCGAGATGATTCTGTGCTTGCCAACGTGGCGTCTAAAAAGTCATTATATTTTGTCGGCGCGATAAGCAAATTCGGTGTGACTCAAACCATTTTTATGCCCATCATAGCCAAAATTGGAGCCTTGACATGTTTTTGCGAGATGGAACTTTTGTCTGGTGACAAATTACTCGTTTTAGGCATGAACATGGGCTGGGTCCAGCCTGGCCGGAGGCAGTCTCTCTCTTAGCATGCAATCTTTCTGGAGAAAGGGTATGGAGGAGCGGGGACGAAAATGTAAGAAGTTCAGAGCTAGGGTTGAGAACTTGGAACTCCAGAACAAGTTGTTATGTTTAGAAAGGTGTCGACTTAGATTTGGCGTGGTCGACTCAGGTCACGTGCGTCTGTAACTGTTACTGATTCAAGACGGAATGAGACTTGCCTTGGTCATAGTGACCCGGCCTGTCTTGTCATCCGCGATCATGGTGTGAGATGGTGTGGGCCGGGGTGACACAGACCGGCCCTGTTCTCATGTCGAACTGTACTTGTCTTACTTCACCTTTTCGCCATTCCCTTCTTGCAGAAATGGCGGGAGATTGAGGCTATCAATGGTGCATGGGCTGTCATTGGCATCTTTGCTGCCTTGGTGGGAGAGGGCTTCACTCAGACTGGCATTCTTGGGCAGGTAAGAAATATTTCTGACTTGTTATGCATTGCTGTGGTTTTCCTCTTCTTGGGCATGATAAAATGCTTCTCAAAGTGTGGGTGCAACAATGTTGAAGGCATGACTTGGGAGGAATGGATTTTCAAAAGCAGACAGTGTGGCTCTGTCATAGGAAGCAAGTGCAAACCGTTTCTCCCCCCATCCAACTAATCCCTTTGGGTTCTTTCAACAGTGTGCAATCTACCTGGAGCTTGTTGCTGGCGCAATCGAGTCTCTTGCGAAATTTGTGGGAGATCTTTGAGCTACAGCATTTGGAAGCATGAGGCAGCACATAACAAGACAGCGGTGGTGTGGTTGTGGTTCGCTTAGCTTACTTTTTGCATCTCACATAATTGTGATGCTTAGTGTGGCAATAGAACTTCCTCACAATGATCTGCTGGGTGGAGATGCGGTCCGGCTGTTACCAGTTATCTCTTGTACAGTAAGATGGCCTTTCTGTAGTGAGTGAGCTGATGTTGGGAATCAGAGCATGATGTGAACCTGTTGGAATGCTTCAGTTATCTGTATACTTCTTTGGTTATCTGGCCATAAGTGAATAAGGTCCGAGCGAATGGCCTGCATAAGGGAGCAGCTTACAGGCTGTATTGTCTAGTGGTCTGGCCATTCAGAACCAGGGTACTTGTGGGACACGCAATCCCCGCTGGCGCTGGTCAGGAAGAGCCACGTGCATCAGAGGCCACCTGGCAGCATTAGATTGAGCACGAATCCCACCATAGCTTGTTATTCATGGTTCTGGTTCGGTTGGGTACGGCAACACATGGAGTTCTCGAGGGAACCTGCCCTCACGAATGGGTGAGGGAACCAAACTGTCCTTCGAAAATCTCTCTGATCATCAAATTCCATCCCAGTTCAGAAATTGAAATTTTCAATCTGGATTCTGGAGCTTGAAGCTGCTCGCGTGTTATCTCTTGAACAACGCGTACTTGTGCCGATTCCGTGTCCGGTCATTACCGCGCCTCGCTGATTCAATTCGAGAGAGGTCATTTCCGTGTCTTACGCGCAAGCTTGCCGGATAATCGCGGAGGAGCACGGAGTCATGGCTGCATTGCATGCGGTGTCGCATGTTAGCGGCGGGCTGTCGTCAGTAGCCCGTGCTTCTCCTCGCGTTCTGTCAGCTCAACGGAAATCATCGTTTGAGCCGTCTCAAGCGGCTTACCCTGCCGACAGCTGTCTTCTGCGAGGCGATTTTCTTCAGAAAGGCTGTTTGCGAGCAACCACGTGGCAAGCAGGCTTTGGTGGCCAGGGACCGTCGCAACCGCTGGCCGTTCGGTGGAATGGCCACCCGTCGAGACGAGGCCGTGTTTCAGTGACTGGTGCGAAGGCGAGCGTGTCCGCCGTGACGTATATCAATTCAGTCGTGTTTTCGCTTGGCTGATCATGCAGAGTCGCAAATAAGTGTCGGTTTTCTACACACATGGTGTTAACTATCACGTGTTTCATTCCCGTTTTTCTTTCACCGTTCCTCCACCACCCCCTCCCGTTCCTCCCTACTCTCTCCTCACCGTAACCTCCGTTCCCCCTCCCTCCGCCTTCTTGCGCACTTTTACGGCAACAGCGTCCGCGTCATCTGGATTCGACGAGATGGTGGCGGGGAGGACGCGCAAGTACTACATGGTTGGGGGGAAGGGCGGCGTGGGGAAGACGAGCGTTTCCGCCGCTCTGGCAGTGAAGTTCGCCAACGAGGGTCATCGCACGCTGGTCGTTTCCACCGACCCCGCGCACTCCCTCAGCGACTCCTTCGCCCAGGTGGGACTCTAGGATGCAACGGCCGGCGCGTGCTTTCAGGATAGGATGGAAGAACAGCGTGTGTCGGTGGCTCTGGCAGTGAAGTTCGCCAACGAGGGCCATCGCACGCTGGTGGTTTCCACCGACCCCGCTCATTCTCCCAGCGACTCCTTCGCCCAGGTTGGTCTCAGGTGCCTGTGAGAGGTGTGCTTTCAGGATAGGGTGCAAGTACAGCGTGTGTCCGCCGCTCTAGCCGTGAAATTTGCCAGCAAGGGCCATCGCACGCTGGTGGTTTCCACCGACCCCGCGCACTCCCTCAGTGACTAATTCGCCCAGGTGAGACTCAGGTGTCTGTCAGGTGGGGCTCAGGTACATTTCAGGTGTTTGCCGGTGGGGATCAGTGTTTGTCGCTCGCCGGTGGCTGACCTGCTGTTGTCCCTAAACCTGACCGTTCCCCATCTCCCCCCACCCTCCTGCTTTACCATACCAGGACGTGTCAGGAGGGAAGCCTGTGGCTGTGGAGGGAAACCGACCTTTGCCTTTGTTGGGTCTGACTCTCCTTTCTTTCTTTCCCCACTCTGACTCTCCTTTCTTTCTTTCCCCACTCTGACTCTCCTTTCTTTCTTTCCCCACTCTGACTCTCCCCCACCCTCCTGCTTCACCATACCAGGACGTGTCAGGAGGGAAGCCTGTGGCTGTGGAGGGCACCGACCTGCCTCTGTTCGCCATGGAGGTGAGAACAAATGGAGGGTGCGATTATAAGGGGAGGATCTGGGGAGGAGACATGTTGACCTGCACGGGGCATGTGCAAGACGTGATAAAAGTGTTGTTTTGAGACGTCTCAAAACAACACTTTTATCTGGGGATGAGACATTTTGACCTGCACGGGGCATGTGCAACACGCATTCCCTGTTCCTCTGGCCATGACACTTTTTCCTTCCTCCTTACACCAGCAACTTTTCATTCCATCTGACTCTACAACATCTCTTACTCCGACCCCCACGCCCATCTGTTTTTGTGGCACCAGATCGACCCAGAGCAGGCGCGGGAGGAGTTCCGGACAGCAACAGGGAAGGATGGCGGCAAGGGCGTGAAGGACTTTATGGACTCCGTGGGCCTGGGCGGCTGGGTGGACCAGGTTCGTGTTGTGAATGCTATGCACTCTATAACGCGGATAACCATGTGAAGCTATCTTATATGGTGGCGTGGGTGGATGGAGGATGGCGGCAAGGGCGTGAAGGACTTCATGGACTCCGTGGGGCTGGGCGGCTGGGTTGACCAGGTGCGTGATCTGGACAGCTTTGGATCCCCATCGCAATGCCACACCATTGCATTCTCTCACCCTTCCTATTCTTTTCCCCCTTCCCCTCGTAAATCGTTTTACTCAACTTAGAAATCTTTTCCTCCTCTCCCGCCTCCCGCTCTCTCCGCCGATTTGCTGTCTGCAGCTGAGCGAGCTGAAGCTGGGAGAGCTGCTGGATACGCCACCGCCGGGGCTGGACGAGGCCGTTGCCATTGCCAAGGTAGGTTGGGGGGAGATTTGGGGTGAAGGGAGGGGGCGAGAGAAGGATACGGGTGGAAGGAAGCGGGGGTAGGGGAGCTCTGGGCGGGCGAGCTGAAGCTGGGAGAGCTGAAGCTGGGAGAGCTGCAGCTGGGAGAGCTGCAGCTGGGAGAGCTGCAGCTGGGAGAGCTGCAGCTGGGAGAGCTGCAGCTGGGAGAGCTGCAGCTGGGAGAGCTGCAGCTGGGAGAGCTGCAGCTGGGAGAGCTGCAGCTGGGAGAGCTGCAGCTGGGAGAGCTGCAGCTGGGAGAGCTGCATCTGGGAGAGCTGCAGCTGGGAGAGCTGCAGCTGGGAGAGCTGCAGCTGGGAGAGCTGCAGCTGGGAGAGCTGCAGCTGGGAGAGCTGCAGCTGGGAGAGCTGCAGCTGGGAGAGCTGAGCTGGGAGAGCTGCAGCTGGGAGAGCTGCTGGATACGCCACCGCCGGGGCTGAACGAGGCCGTTGCCATTGCCAAGGTAGGTTGGGGGGGAGGGGGAAAGGTTGTGTGGGTTCAACGGAGGCATCTAGAGAGGGGGGTGGTGTTGGAAGGAAGCTGGGAGAGCTGCTGGATACGCCACCGCCGGGGCAGGACGAGGCTGTCGCCATTGCCAAGGTAGGGTGGGGTGGAGATCTTTAAAGTGGACTCAGTAGGGGTGGATGAGGCAGTGGTGATTGTTGAGGTGGTTGTGCAGTATATGCAGGTGCCTTATTATCCAGTTCATGCAGGCGCCTTATTATCCAGTTCATGCAACTTCAGTGAAACTGGTTATTATCTGACTCTCTTCCAACTCACCCTGAAGTTGCATGAACTGCACATCCGCCAACCAGTTTCACTCGCATCGTCTTCTCCTTTTCCGGTTTGCCCCCTGATGTATTCTTCCCCTCTCACCTCCACGTACCTCCCCTCACTCCTCTCACATCCTCTCTCCCGTCTCCACCACGCTCTCTTCCACCAGGTGGTGCAGTTCATGCAATCGCCCGAGTACAGCGACTTTACTCGCATTGTCTTCGACACTGCACCCACGGTGGGCCCCATAGCGTGCTTTCCCATTCCCATTCCCATCCCCATCCCCATCCCCATCCCCATCCCCACCCCTGTTCCCTCCGTGGTTGTCTATCTACACAGCCCTTCCTCCAGTCTGTCACATTCTCTTGATGTATGTTCGTTCTTTGAGTGACTGCACTTTTCCGGGTGACCCTGCCATGTCTGTACTTCTTCCTCACTTCTTCTTTTTGCATCTTCCTTTCTTCCTCACTTCTTTTTGCATCTTTGTTTCTTCCTCGCTTCGTGTTTGTGTGTGTTTTCCCCTCCACAAATTCTCTCTGCCAGGGGCACACACTTCGGCTCCTTTCCCTCCCCGACTTCCTGGATGCTTCCATTGGGAAAATTCTCACAGTGAGTGCTAGCTCTAGGTGCAAGGCTACTAATATGATGTTTTATTCAACAACTGCCCTCATGTTGAGTCGTTCCCCTTCCCTGCCAGCAGCCCTTTCTCTACCAGACTGTATGTAACACTGTTTCTTGTTTGTCCTCTTCTGCTACCCTCTACTGCCCCATGCTCTATCGCTCCCTTGCCCTGTCCGAAGCTCAAGTTCAAGATCATCTCTGCCACGTCAGCAGTCAGTCGAATCGTGTTTTAAGTCGGCTCAAAAGACACCCTCCCATTTTGCTCGTGTTGTGTTGTTCCCCTCCCCTACCCGCAGCTCAAGTCTAATACCCGCGACATTGGGAGGGTGTGTTTCAATGCTGGGTCGACTCGAAAGACACCCTCCCAATGCTCATTGCCCCTCGTGTTGTATTGCTCCCCTCTGTGCCCGCAGCTCAAGTCCAAGATCTGCTATGCCACGTCAGCAGGCAGTCAGGTCCCCTTTTGAGGTGTCTCAAAAGACTTTCCCCCCACTCACTGCCTGTGTGCTGCATGGTTCTCATTTCCCTGCTCGCAGCTCAAGAACAAGATCAGCTCTGCCACGTCAGCAGTCAAGTCTCTCTTTGGGCAGGAGGACGGCAAGCCTGACACAGCGGTGAGTATGACATGGGGAGAGGTGGGGGTGGGGGGTGGGCAGGGGTTGGGGGAGGTGAGAAGAGGTGTGGGCTGGATTGGGTGGAGGTGGGGGGAGGTGAGAAGAGGTGGGGAGATGTGGGGGAAAGTGGGAAGAGCTCAGTGTTGAGTTGACTCACGAGTCGACTAGAGTGCCTCCTATCATTGTGTCACTGTAACTCTGTATCCATAATCAACAAAAATATAATGTGACTGATTGTGAATGTGACATTACGAATGTGACTGCAGGTGGAGAAGCTGGAGCAGTTGAAGGAGCGGATGGTGATGGTGAGGGAGATTTTCCGCGACCAGAAGGCCACGGAGTTCATTATAGTCACAATCCCCACAATCATGGCTATTAACGAGAGCGCCCGCCTGCTGAAATCACTTGAGGTGGAGGGCGTGCCGGTGAAGCGGCTTATAGTGAATCAGATCCTGCCCAAGTCCAACACTGACTGCAAATTCTGCAACATCAAACGCAAGGTACATCCGCTGTGCAATTTCAAGTGCTTATTTTGGCAACATCAAGTGCATATTTTGCACTGCCCAAGAGGTTTCAACATCAGGGGCAAAGGGCAGCCACTCTGTTTTGTGCACATTCGTTTCACAACGCCACAGGACCAGCAAAGGGCATTAGACATTGTGGAGGTAGACAGAGACTGAGCCACCTGCGGGTGACTAAACTGCCTTTTCTTTACCCGTCCTGCTCTTGCCTCGGTGCCTCTCTCGCCCCCCTCCTTCTCCTCGCCACAGGACCAGCAAAGGGCATTAGACATCGCGGAGGCAGACAGGGAGCTGAGTCACCTGCGGGTGATTCAATCGGCTACTTCTTACCTTGAATACTACTTTCCCCATTGCCTCCCTCACACCCCCCCTCACCCGCCCTCTGCCTCCTCGCCACAGGACCAGCAAAGAGCATTTGACATTGTGGATGCAGACAGAAAGCTGAGTCGCCTGCGATTGAATCAACTGCCTTTTCTTTACCCTTCCTGCTATTGCCTCTGTGCCACTCTCGCCCTCGCTCCGAATTTCACCACAGGACCAGCAACGAGCATTAGACATAGTGGAGGCAGACAAGGAGTTGAGCCACCTGAGGGTGATTCAATCGCCCCTCTTTGACCTTGAGATCCGCGGTGTGCCAGCTCTCAAGTTCATGGGGGACCTTGTGTGGCGGTAACACTGCGTTTTGATGACTAGCTGTGAGGTATTGCTTTGTTCCAAAAACGCTTTGAAAGCAGACTCGAGATTCGTTGCATGCCTGTTCTCAAGTTCATGGGGGTCCTGGTTTGTCGGTAGTGCCATGTGGGGCGGTGGTGACTTGTCAGTCGTTAATACCTAGCGTGCTTCATACAAACCACATCTGCTACAAGTCAATGCATGCTTCGTTGCATTCCAATGAAAGAGAGGAAGAAATATTGTACGAACAATGAAGAAATGCAAGCATAAACAAGAAGTTGTTAGAAAGAAATTTCACTAACTAGAATAAGATTGTACGAGTGGGTATGTGCAAACCTCCCTGCATAGAGCACCTCTATCAGGCCTACAATAGAAACACATGCAATGTAAATGTATAACCCCTAGACTAAGGTGTTAAACTATATATCTATATTTGAGCTAGGCTACAGTGAGGTAGGTATGTTGTAGGGAGTAACAACTCGTTACGGTTAGCTATTTGTACCCTAAGGGCAGGTCCAACTTTGCACACTCCCGTTTTTTCGTTATTTTTACGTCAATGCAGTAGTCAGACTTGACTGTACCCCAGGGCGAACTTCAAACATTTCCTGTCCAGTTCTGAGTGCACAATTCGGACTTTTGACAATGTACAGTAACGCTGCGGGGTACAGTACCTGGGATGAGGGGTTACCCAATAAAGCGAGGTTTTTCGCACGAGCGACGGAGGGGGGATTCCTTGGCGAATAACAAATTAGCGAAAAAGGGTGTTACCGGTACCTTTTGGCGTGTTTGACGCGAAACGAGTTTGACGTGAACCTTCGGACGTGTTCTGCACTTCCCCGGGCACGTTTCCGTAATGTCATCATACATGTACAGTCTCGCGTCAAATGGATTCTGGTACGTTTGTAGTTCTGTTACATGCCGAAATGTGGTAACTGAGCTGAAAATTTATCGTACATGTGCAAAGTTGGACCCGCCCTAACCTTGCTAGTCCAATTCATTCCGTTGTTCTCATTTTGACATCAGGGGCAGTGTAAGAGCAAGCTCAGGGTGGCACTAATAGTCTAGTCTCTAAGACCAGTCAAGAAGTGCAACAGAGTGAGCAATGTACAACTCAAGACGGTACTACTGTCATCGCCCGGATAGAAGATAGTGTTGAATTGAAGACATAGTGTCTTTTAAATGGGTGGTTTCTTATAAACGGAACTTCTGTACCCATGGGGCTATATAAGATAAGACACCCCCCCCTGGGGTGTCTTCTAAATGGAAAGCAGAGTTTCCTAGCAGCAAATTGTCAAATACGAAGCACACACATGTCTAGCTAGGACAAAATACCGTATTTAGTGTTTTTTTTCCCTCAGCAGTCACACATTCTGCATCAGTCACTCTAGCACGGGATGAGCGGCCTTCTCGTGCTGCTCCTGCTACTGTCCATGCGTGCTTGGCGGTCTCTTCAGGCTCCACGAGCTTATCTGCAGCTGCTGCTGCACCTCTATAGTTTTGGGTGTCGGGGTAGGGGTCATCAGTGGCTGGAGTCGCAGCAGCTGCAGGGGGCACCACGTCCTCTTCGAAGTCCGCCACAAGGTCCTCCTCTGCTACCTCTACGGTGCCGTCTCTCCCCACAAACCCACTGTTGTCACCCGTCGTCCCCCGCAGCGACATGTCCTCAGAGACATCGGTCGTGCTCCTTTCATGTTGGTGGGCCAGGACGAGGTGGTTCTCCGTGCCGTCAAGGCTACTGGAAATGCCGCACGTCTTGAAGGCCTTGATGATGATCTCGGTTGGGACATCATCCCAAGCCTCGTCGATCCACTGGAGCACCAACGCATGCGACGGGCGCTTGAGGTTTCCTGCCACGACCAAGACAAGCAACCTCAGTGCAGAATCAGAGACCGACACGAGCGCTTGAGGTTTCCTGTCAATACCAAGACATGCAACAGCAGCGCATTTGTTGGTCCATGCAAACGCATCGCACGAGGGGAATCCAAACTCACCTTTTGGGGTGCGCAGGTTAATGCCGTGCCGCATGAACCACCGGCAATACCGCGCCCGAACACCGGCTTTGAAGGCCCGGTTGATCGCGACATCTAGCGGCTGAAGCAGCGGGGTGCAGCCAGCGGGGATGATGGCTGGCACGATGCTGTGGGTGCGGTACACCGCTAGCATGCCTGGGGTGATGTGCCCCCGGTATGAGTCCAGTACAAGCATCGCACGCTTGGCCGCTTTCCCCTTCTCCGGGTTCAGGAAAGGCAAGATTTCCTTGGTGAGCCATGTGCTGACGGCCGCCTCATCCATCCAGCCATTGTCTTGTGCTTGTGCCACGATGCGTGCACCATAATGAAGCACACATCAGACAATAGCCAGCACGCCATTTGCGGATTCGGGTTTCAGAACGTCGAATCCCAGATATTATGCTTACCTGTAGGTATGTCGCATTTTGGAACATTCTTCAGCTTGAACCATACCCACGGTCGGAGTTTTTCACTCGCTGCAGTGCACGCCAGCATCACAGTCACTCGTTGCTTCTCGTAGCCCGCCGTCCTTGTCAGAGGTCCACTGGTGATCCCCGATTGATCCTAGGGAAGGGTTACAGGCATGTTGGCCTGGGGGGTTATGGGCGCACTGACCCGCTACTTAACAAGCCCTTTTATCCCAATGGTCTAGTGGTTGGGATTCTGACATGGTATCAGAGCGAAGGTCTCGGGTTCGAATCCCAGTGTGTGCACCTCGGGCATCTCAGTGCAGGGGGGTGTCAGAGGTCCACTGGAGATTCCCGATTGATCCTAGGGAAGGGTTACAGGCACGTTGGCCTGGGGGGTTATGGGCGCACTGACCCGCTACTTAACAAGACCTTTTATCCCAATGGTTAGTGGCCGAGATTCTGACATGTTATCAGAGCGAAGGTCTCGAGTTCGAATCCCGGTGTGTGCACTTCGGGCATCCCAGTGCGGGGGGGTGTCAGAGGTCCACTGGAGATCCCCGATCGATCCTAGGGAAGGGTTATAGGCACGGCGGCCTGGGGGGTTATGGGCGCACTCACCCGCTACGTAAACAAGCCCTTTTATCCCAGTGGTCTAGTGGCTGGGATTCTGACATGGTATCAGAGCGAAGGTCTCGGGTTTGAATCCCAGTGTGTGCACTTCGGGCATCCCAGTGCGGAGGGGTGTCAGAGGTCCACTGGTGATCCCCGATTGATCCTAGGGAAGGGTTACAGGCATGTTGGCCTGGGGGGTTATGGGCGCACTGACCCGCTACTTAACAAGCCCTTTTATCCCAATGGTCTAGTGGTTGGGATTCTGACAGTCCTGATACGCACGGACCGCGTCCCTCGGTGCTCAACCGTCCTCGCTGCAGGCATCTCGACGAAGAGTGGGGTTTGATCCGCATTGATGATGCGTGACAAGTCGATGGCATGCCGAACGCGGTTGATGCGGACAAATTTCCAAAAGGACTCGCAATCCTCCGCACACTCTGCGCACCGTACAAAGAGCACAGAGAAAGGAAAGAATGAGTGGATCATGCTTCAGAATTTGGTGTACTTTCAAGCAACACTGCAGCAGAACATGCACGGATGGTTTAACAGAAGGGCTATGGGGAGATAGAGGACTCACCGTTGGACATTTTTTGACCAATCTTGGTCTTCACTCGGATGACGAGGTTCCACCGATCCCTAACACGCTGGCTCCAATGAGAGGATGCGGTCCACGCGGTCCCTGGGCAGTGTTTCTTCTTCCATGTGCGACTCCACTCCTGCAAGTCCTTCACGGAAACTGCCACTCCTTTGGCGCGGTTGATGCAGATGTAGCGATAAATCGCCTCCTCCATATCGGGGTGGTAAGAGTGGCGCCCTACACCATGCATGCGTTTCCGACTGCTGGCAGCACCCTTGAACACGCCGCTCTCCTTCTGCCCGACCCAGCGCCGTATCGTAGCCACAGATGCTCTACCCTCCAGCGCGGTTTTCTTCAGTGACTCCAGCTAGCCGTACCTCAAGGCCCACTTGACCTTCTCCTTTACAGACCAGGGTCGCCTCGTCCGTTTGACGCCGCGGCCGCGAGGTGACGGGGGCCGAGCATTTGGATTCTTGTCATGCGGGTCCTTGGGCTTTCGCTTCTCCGGGTAAGTAAGTAATGGGCCCGCTGCTTCAGCGTAGTCATCATCCGAGTTTGGTTCGGCTTCACTGTCGCCTCCGTCATCCTTCCTGCAACCCTCATCGGCCTACGCCTTGCAACGGGTCCCCTTGCGACGATTCTTCTTGCCACCCTCCTTGTTAACGTTCGCCTTGCCACGGGTCCCCTTGCTGCTACCCTCACCAAGCGATACCTTCCCTTTCTCAGCGGCTGTGAGTCTCGGCTTGGTGCCCTTGTCAACGTGGTACTTGACGCGCCTTCGAAACAGGGGGACATCGTCCATGCTCCACAAATCCTCATCCGAATCCTCCTTAGATGCAGCGGCCGCGACATCAGCATTGGCGTCTGCGTCGGTCGCCTCAGCAACACCGTCCATCTCCGCGGTGGCGTCGGACGCCGCCGTCGCCTCCCTGGCGACGTTCTCGTCCTAGCTGTCACCCACGTGCCACTCCTCCACCTCCTCACCGGCATAGTCCTGGTTCCACCACTCGTCCTCGTTGATGTCCGCCTCCACGTCACGGGTGTCTTCGTCATCTTCATAGCGCCCGTCCTCAGGCCATTCCTCCTCGTCATCCTCTACTCCGGCGGCATCCGACTCCTTGCAGCTCGCGACCGTGCTTTTGACGGCGGGTTGTTTGCGCCCAGTGGGCTTTGCCGTGCTGCCTCCAACGACGATGGTGACATCGTCGCCCGCCGAATTGATACGCCTGCTGTTCGCAATGTACAGAGCAGGCGCACCAGGCTGTTTGCTACGCATGGCGACGAGAGAAGTTGGGAAACATGAGGAGAGAAGGGATTCAAATAGCAAAATGAGCACACTGATGTGGTAGACCCTGGACCCCCTCACGTAAGGGCGACACCCGTAGAGGACTGG